TCATGAAGTGATGATACAGTGGCTATAAATGCTAATTTGAGAATAAGGCGAAGTTATTTTAGTACTAAGCAGCGACCTCCAGTGTTAAAAATTAAAGCCAATGGGGAAATGCAAAGCCCTGCACTTCCTGGAATGCCCACTTGAGGCTGGCTGTAAAAGCCAAAAATTCCCCTTTATATCTCTTAATGAAATGCACATTTTCACCGCAGAAATAAGTAGTGGCTGATTTAACTGACCAGAAGGATGTTGTTGCTGTTGGCAAGAAGGCCAGGATTCACTTTAATGTTACTGACATTAAACTGTTGGTTTTGGTCCTACTGTTTGCATCGTCTGGAATATGCCAGCTAGCTGGGGGGGGGGGGGGCGGGGCACAAGATGGATGGGCGTGTTCAGTTACTAAGGTTCATTTGGCCACATAAGCTCCACCTCTTTACAAGCTTTGAAACTAGTAGTTCATTGGAGTCAGCAGACGATGCTGTTCCGTTGGCTTCTTAAGGCTGAGCTCTCCAGCAGGCATTGGTGCAGTGGTCAGGATGCGGGTCAGCACCTCCAAGTTCGAGGCCATGGTTTTCTGCCGGAAAACAGTGGATTGCTCCCACAGGGACTGAGTCCTTACCTCAAGTGAAGGAGTTTAAGTATCTCTGGGTCTGGAGCCAGAAGGCAAAGTTTTCAATTTACCGGCCAATTTACATTCTAACCCTGACCTGTGGTAACAAGCTGTGGGTAGTGGCTTGAGATTGCAGATGAGATTGCAGATACAAGTAGCTGAAATGAGTTTCCTCCAAAGGGTGACTGGGCTCGACTTTGAGATAGGGGAGATAGGGAGCCAGTTGAGATTGTTCAGGCATCTGATTAAGATTCCTCCTGGTTGCCTCTCTTTGAAAGTCTAAAGGCCACGTATAACTTGGAGGAAACTCAGGGAGAGACCCTCGCTAAACCTGCTGCCACCGCGGCCCGGCCCTTGATAAGTGGAAGAAAATGGATGGATAGTTAGAAAACCTCAAGAACAGGATCATTTCTGAAATGCTTTTTAAAAACACAGAAAGCAAAAAAAAAAAAAAAAAACTCGTGGAGCAAACTGAATGCAGAGGAACACAAACAGCCACAGTGTTCTGTGAATAATTTTCCTTCAATCTCTTCACAGTGACATCACACTGCGTTACAAAGAGACCCGCCGACGCAAACAGGAAGTCCCCACAGACCGAGAGCGTCCTCTTGGCAATGGCAACACATCCACCCCATCTGGGCGGAGCAAACTGAACGGCAGCTCAGAGACAGTCCGGCAAAGGAAATCCTGAAGGTCAGCCGCGGCCGTCCGATCTGCTGCAGCTGAAGGGTGAGAGAAAGAGGTGAAAGAAGCACATTTAGAGGCAAACAGATGGACACATATACGTGCTGTGTAGACTTTTATTGTGCCTACATGAAACCAAGTAGTCATTCAACAGAGAGGAGGGGTAGAAGGGGCAGTTTTCATTCAGTGCATTGTATAGTTATTGTCTTACTACAGGGATTTACCTCATTCTATTTTTTATGAACATTCGGGGAATTATACACAGGAGTAAGTACATTGTTTGTGTTATTTATATGTTAGTTTGGTTGCTGGGTGACAAGGGAAGAAAAAGCTGAATCAAAGAGATGTAAAAAAATAAATAAAGAGGCTCATTAAGGTGAGCGTGGGAGCGGAGACTCTTGACCAATCATTGTTTTCAGCAATTGCAATTTTCCAAGCTGCACTTGTCTTAAAAAACACAAAAACAAGAGAAGACGTCAGAAACATGTCGGCCACTGTAAATAGGCTTCCTTCTGTGTTGTGCAGTCGCAGGAGTACAGGTGAGAGAGCAGAGAGTATTTGGAGCAGTGAGGGATTTTCAGAGGTCACTTATGTTCTGTATGAACCAGGGATTTTGGTCACACTATTGCCATACAGAAGATAAAGTAGAACTCAGTTAATGACACATTTCTTTTCTTTTTTTCTCTATTGATTTCTATGCATTGTTGACAGTTCATAGCACTCTTGTCTTAGCCTTGGTTCAAAGATGATGATGCATTGTTAGTACGAGTGGGAGACAGCGTCAGCTTCTGATTTACAGTTCAGGTTTCCTTGCCGCACTGAGTGCAGAGGTCCTGCTGAGGATCCTCCTTCAGTCTGACACAGATGAAGAACTGCCCCATAGCCTTGCTCTCCTTTGTCCCTGAAATGAGCAACAACTTTGTGTAGGAAAAAAAATCAAATTTAAAAAAACCTCAAGATGTACCATACTCTCTGATATTATACATGATATAAGGGTTTGGGTGTTTTTTTTTTTTTTTGTAGGTGTTTTATTATTTCTCTAGGTTGAATGGATCGATTATAAACACTAGATAGTTCTTCAGTTCCTTTTTGTAAAAATAAGGTGCTGAGCAGCACTCTGATGAACACTTCCATGACAATCACACTGACAGGAAGCTGTGCTTCTATTGGTCGAGACATATTGGCTCACATACAGCAGATAATCCTCCGTTTCAGCCCGACTGTAAAATAATGCTGGGCTCGCCTGACGGCTGAGCAGAGCTCGAATTAAAAGTGTGATTCTGTTTTATGCCAAATGTTTTTATTGAACACTTTCATTTTAATTGATCAGATGTTCTGCAGTGGCTGAAATTAAATAAGTATAAAAAAAAATGAAGCTCCTTTTTCAGATGGAGGGAAATGAAGGTTTAGGTTTGTGTTCTCCTCAGTTTTGGGAAGAGAAGTCACTTTTTCCAGCTCTGTGGGGGCCGCCATATTGCACATGCAACAAAGCCAAAGCTTAGATTTCATTCTTGCTAAAGCCATAAATGCCAGCTAGACTCACCTGAGCTTTCAACCCGCTGCTAAACCTCATTTAGGACTCTTTTCAATTACAACTAAGTCCCAAAGCCACCGGGACCCTCCACGTCAGCATCCAGGTTTTTTTAAATGACACAACAGGGATTTACACCTTCACACCATCTTTTCTCCAGCACCTTCTTTATTCCTGCTTCTTGAATGTCTCTCCGTCTGTAAATGGAGTCATCTCAGTGAATTTTATTTCCTTAAAGTTAAAATGTTAAATGTAACGCCGGAAAGTTATTAAACTATTGAAATGAATGATTGATAGGTTCAGTGATTTTTTTTCTTTTTTTTTTAAACCCCGCCTGCCCCCCAAATATTGTCCTTAAACACTTTTATGAATGTGCTGACTCTCCTTATATTGTATGATGACTAAATGTCTTTCACTTTTGAATTGTGGCTTTAAAACACCAAATTTGGATTCAACCAAATTAAAGAAATTGTAACTCTGACCCCCATTTTTCACTTTTTTTTAGAATAAAGGTTGATCAATTATCTGTAATCTATCAGTATATTATTGATAATGTAAGTAATAGTTAAATGTTATGAACTTTCATTATGATACGAATATAAGCTTTACATTGAACAAAAAACATGCAAAGTTAAACCCTTGATTTGTGCGTCAGTCTGCTGAAACATTCACTCAAAACCATTCAGTCTGTGTCAGAGAATCAGTTATGCATTTTGTGTGTTACGCTTTGCGTCCCTTTGGCTTTGTGACGAGACACAATCTGTGCATCATGCTGCAAAATGTCCGGTTTTAAACGAGGCTGCTCATACTTTAATGACCATGTTGTGAATCTCTCCTGAATGTAAATCCAGCACAATCTGCTGTCCAAATGAGTCATCATACATCAGCTCATTTGGTGGAAAAAAACAAACGCTAAAGTGTTGTTTATCATTTATGCAAAGGCTAATTCCTATGTTCAAGCAGCCTTCAGATGTCGTCTTTTCTGCATACAGTCACAGCTGTGAAGGTTAACCTAAAATCCATGTTTAGTTCAGAAGTGTGTACTAGATTGTGAACCTGCTAGTTTAGGCATTTTGTTTATTCCCTCCCCTACACACATTTCACACGTGCTGAGGATTAACTGGGTACCGGTCTATGCCTTGCATTTGTTGAGATGCTTTCGTTGGAAATGACAGAAAACTGAAACCCAAACCGAGTCATGACTTTGCACATCAGCTCTGGAATCACAAAATAATCCAGAAACCTGGCTAATGAATGAGATGTTAGAAACTGGTCCCCCTCCACTTAAAAGACCTTTTTTCCCTTTGGCGTGTTTGAGGGTTCAGTGTAGTTTCACCTGCAGCCACATGGGGGCAGTGATTGTCCTTGACTAATCATTCGCAACTTGCTGTAAAAGCCATTTTCAACATCGTTTGTGTAAATGTAAATATGTTCAAGATCATGCAAATTGAAACATGCTGCTGCATCACATAATTTTATAATGTTTTCAATAAAATCGACCAGAAAACATGAAATTACTGTCTGATGTTATTTTTCAAGTATAGTATATAAGTATACCCTTAAGAAAATGTATTTATTTTGCTTTGTGATGGGGATGACGATACTGATGGCCTGCAAAGAATGCTTACTATGATTATTTTCTCCTGGCAGACAAAGGCTCACTGACAGCAGCTGTATCCCTGCACAATGATTTGTTAAACATTTTCTGTCACCCTGCAGAAAGAGGATCCTCACGTCACAGGTATCACAAGTTCAACAAGCACAAGAGATTGTCATGAAACCCCGGATACACACTGTTGTAAAGCAGCAGATAGTCAAGCTTTTCTTATCTCAAGCCAGAATCGGCGCAAAGGCATGCTGAAAGCCAACTAATTTATTTTAGAGCTGCCCGTCTTTGCAATCGAACAACCATTTCCTCATGTTTTCATCTGGCCTGTTGCCATCATTGGACAGCTTCTGGCTCAGGTGTTAGAGCGGCTGCCCAGTTCCATCAGTGTATAGGTTACAGTGACCTTAACCCAATGGGTCCTGATGCGGAGTCTCCCTATAATGAAGTTCGTTCAGCATATTATAAAGTTAGTTTAACAAGCAAACAAACCCTAAATCATTTTATAGATAGTAAAAAAAAAAAAAGTGTTTACATTTCCATCAAATAAAACCAATGAGGAGCCAATGAAATTCATAGTTAAAGCAGCAAAGTCCTATTCCCCCTTTATTGCATAGTTTTGAACATCTTTCATCAGATTCTCTCACTATAAAACTCTGCAAACACATCACACTGGTTAAATACTTAAATATCAGAGTAAACTCCTAAACCAACCCAGGAAGAAAAAGAAAACCCTCTCGTGTGCTGCATTTGATTTCCAGGGTTTACTATGACAAATACTGTAGTTCTCACACATCTGCTTGTAGTGCAATCGTCAGTATAGGGCTCCCTGAAGCAGCTGCACAGTATTTCTAAATAAGCTTCTCGCAATAGGCTGGGACAACAGACGCAAAGCAGTGCATTTAGTAAGCTCAAGGCTTGGAGTGTAGAATGCATAGTGCAGTACAGAGGGATCAGGACACATCAAAATATAACACTTTAAATATAGAAACAGACTGCTTCAAATATATATTATTTACGCCTGAGATCCTCCCGTCAAAATGTACCTCGCCCTCTTTGGTTTACGGTTAAGGAGATATTTTATCATCAAAGGCACAACACACTTTTTTAAATCACACTGGAATCAGGTTGGACAGTATATATGATACAACTGTGCAAAATCAGTCAGTGTGCTTGTTTTCATACACAATGCACACATTGATTAACATTTGATGGGTCTTGAAATTAAAGCTAAAAAACACAAATACAGAATGATTTTCAGAGAATATAAAAACTAAAAATATAAAAAAAGGCTAATTTAAAATGCATCAATCAGTAACTAAGTGATTAGATCTTTAGTAACAAACAACCTGCTGGTTAGCAACAAAGTTAACAATGCAATAGCTGCCTAAGTCCTGGGTCAAAGGAACTCATTTACTGTAAGAACATTTTCATATAAAAATCCTGAATATAAAAAGCCATTGATCATATTTCTACGATCTGACCAGTTTGAAGCCCTGCCCGGTGTCCAAGATCGCAGGTGGAAAGCAGTTGAGTTTGACTCTCTTCAGACATCTCAGGCAGACACAGCAGAGCCACAGCAGGTTCAGGCCGCCGCACCACAGCGCCAACTGCACCACCGGGTAGGTCATCCGAGGGAAGTACAAGCTCCAGTGGTTTGTGACATCACTTCCTGTCGGCAGGTGCAGCGTGTAGTCGCTCCAGTGTTTGGAGATGCCGTAGGTGGCAGAAACCGCCCTTCCCCTCTCTGACCACTGGATGGCGCTGTTTGAGTTGCAGTTGTATTCCACCCACTGAGCGGTGAAGTCTCCGAGCTGAGGGGGGTCCTGCAGCTCCACGTCCGTCACACGAGCGAGCGTCGCCCCCTGAACGGCCACGTACAGTCCCTCCACCCTTTTGACCGCCGTCACCCACGGAGATGAGTTGTCGCAGTCGAGCACAAAGATGAGGCGAGAACAGGCGCTGCCGTTCTTGTCCCTCCACCACTCCAAGATCTGATCGAGATGCAGAGTGTCTCCTCCTGACGGGGAAACACAGAGACAGACTAAGTATCATGAATGCATGACAAACGGTGACCTAACCCACTAATTACGCCTCTTTAGCACAGCTTTAAAAGCTCAATTCACTGGATTGAAAAAAAAAAGACTTCCAAACTCTTCAATGACTGAAATATCTGGACGGATTTTTAAATAAATTAATGCGTGTTTGTTATTTTCAACATGTCCCACACCTGGTACATTAAGTTTTCTTATTTGTCTAATTTCTTCCTCCATTTTTCATCCTCTTCTTCCTCATTTTAACCTACCTACTCTCACTTTTGTTCACCAGCTTTACATCTTTGAGTTGAGTCTTTAGTTCAGGTTCTTTAAATTTATGGCAAAGACAAACTAACATTATTGTACCAATCAGTTGGCTGCTTATTTTAAATATGTTTTACCATTTACATGGTAATTTAGTCAACCCTGCTTTATCTTAAACGCTACAGCTTCATGTTATCCTCACCTGCCAGCGCCCACTCTCCAGAGCGGTGGCTGTGACCGCTGTAGAAGATGACGTAGGTGTCGTGGCGAGGCCCGTCAGGTGTACGGAGCTCCAAGAAGGATTTGATTTTGGCCTGCAGAGCCTCCAAGGTCACCCCGCTGGTGGAATAGTCGCAGCCGAAAGTCTCAATGAAGTGATGGGCGAAGAAGCGCTGCACATTGTTCAACATGCCTGTAGAGCGTTTGTTCAGATCATGAACCTGGTCAGGAGGCAGCAGCATGGGCTGACCATCAGGACTGAGACAGACAGAGAGGAAACACAGGAGGTGATTAATCATGTCTGTTTGGATCAGTCATGCAGCACAGGTCAGAGGATGTATGATGCATTAAAGACAACTTCATGAATACAGTCTAAGAGTAGCATTACAACTCATTGGTTTTTAAATTCTCAGCCAACACTGACTGAGGGAATTATAAATGCTCAATGCCATGAATGCTGGATATGGAAGGTAATTATTCCCAACAAGTCTGCAAGTATTAAATCACAAGCTACCTGCAGTAGTTGGTAGGGATGACCACTGCATAGCCCACACAGGTTCCTCCCAGGCTGCTCCCGAGCTCATGGAAAAGCCCGTGAAAAAGAGACTCCAGAGGCAGGACGAGTAGAAACAGGCTGACAAAGATACTGCTGGAGGCCTGCAGAGCACAGTCATTACTTCTAACCAGTTCACAGGAGTATAAAAGATCCATGAAAAATGCTGTAATATGAACCTACTTGCACTTCTGCAATAGTTTGGGAAATATAATGAATGAACCTAGCGTAGAAAAACTCCATTAAAAAAAAAAGTTATTGATGTGTTATAGGAGGGATTTATAAGTAACAGTTAACGTTGTTATATTTTAACAACACAATGCAATATTAATATTACAGTATGTGAGACCCACCCTCAGACAGTCCCATAATTAAAATCAGTTATCCTCATCTTATGTCCCACAACTCCTTCATATGATAGTAGTCTAAATGGACATGAGGTGAATAAGGAAATGAGGAAGAACAATATTCAAAATGACTTTGACTTTATAATTGAATATGTGGTTTCCCTTTAAATTAAGCAGATAGTTTAAACACACGTTGTCCTCAAATCACGAGTAAACACCGGCCAGAAACAGAAGAAACTGCTGGACAAAACGCAAACTGCTGTCTTTATTTACTGACTGTTATATTTTTAAATCTGCGTGGACATGACAGCATTTCTCAACCACAAATTAAAACCCTGTCACGTCCACACAGAACAAAGTAAGACTCAAGAACTACTTCGCTCTGTGGTACCAGCTGGATACATGCCCCTTTGTGATGCTCTCTGCTGTGGCAACTCTTCACAAAGAAGACAAGTTATAGAAATATTTTCGGGGCAGCGCCTACCTGCCAACAGAGAACAGCCACAGCAACAGTCGACACCAGAGTGAGGAGCACCAGGCGTTCAGAGATGAGGCAGAAATGCCTCATGCCCTTTGACGCCATCACTTTGTCCAGACTGTTGACCTCTGCCCCCTGGAACAAGCAGAGCCTCTGGCAGTCACTGAGTTTGCTGTGAAAGCCCCAGACTGTGATAGCAAACACCATGTGGCAGATGAACCAGAAGAGCGCACAGAGGACAAACACCGGGATCATCAGGTACCACTGGTTCAGGTCTGTCAGCTTCCGTGCAGCCAGGGACACGAAGGTCACCTCCAGCGCCAGCAGAGGAAGGAGTGACAGCCGGTGCCAGAGGCGCCTCCGCACCAGGAAGGGCTGCCAGCGCTCGGTCACGGAGAGCCCGCTGAAGTAGACGTCCAGCAGGGGGTCACAGATGAGCTGGCCGAAGAAGCAGGCGAGGGCGAAAGGGTTGGTGGCGATGTTGAGAGACTTGAAAAACAACACGCCGGTGACCACAGCGAAGCAGACCAAGTTGGGAAGAGCCAAGAGAGCCTTCATCCGGAGGGCAATCATGAGCATGCCCAGCGCCACCAGCAGCACCATCACACTGAGGGACTTCTGGATGAGCAGGGCCGTGCTGGCGGCGGCGAACCCCGCCAGCTCCAGCCGCTCCGCCGAGGTGAGGAACGCAGGACGGTACCTTGTGCAGCCGAGCAGCCGGTCCAGCAGCGCCCACAGCGTCCTCAGAGCCACACTGGCCAGAAGCAGGTAGTCGGTCACCTGCTCCTTCAGGTCGCTCTCGACGGCGGGGCCGCTGAGGAAACACTGCAGCCCCAGCAAGAAGCCGAACAACAGGTGGAGGAGGCTGAGGCTGCACCTCTCCATCCTGAAGAAGTACACCGCACTTGCTACTGCGACGACGGCGAGAGCCAAAACGAAAATGACAAGGAGAGTGGACTCCGCAGTCTTCTCCCAGCGCGTGTACAGCCCCAAGCAGAGGGCCACGAGCAGGTTGAGACCGGACAGGTAGCCCAGACACCGGACAGACGACCACATGCTCACCTCTCCGTTGACCTCCTCCAGCCGGGTCATCGCTGCGCGGAGGCAGTGGCTGACACAGTAGCGTAGAAAACGACACATTTTTGATTCTACACTGAAGCCAGAAATAGGCACTTTTAATAGTCTACAGCCGGTTGAAGGTCCATTAAAATAAAAACCATGTCGCTACACCAAACCAAAGTTCAGCTAGCTAACTTGTTGAAAAGTGGCTAGCTTAGCCACACTCATCTTTGCTCCCGGTCAGCGTCGCGGAAAACGCTTTTACATCACAACTCTCCTTGTTTGTGCTCTTTCAGTTTGTTTGTTTTTCCGATACCTGGATGAAAATGTCCGAGACTCCGTTGTAGTTGACATAACAGTTTCAAAAAAAAAAAAAAGTTTGTCACGTCAAAAGTTTGTAGACACGGGCGCCATGACGCTTACTTTGACTACGGCAAGCGTCAAGGGTCAAACCGTGGTGGGTTAAACCCGTAGTATCTACAGTCTATGAGCAGGGTGGGGCACACTGGCGCCCCCCCCCCCATTAACCCTCAATGTGGCCCTCGGGTTAATTTTTTACACATCAATGAATTGGAAACATGAAGAAAATGTGACAAAATCTGCCGTGAAAGCATGAAAACCAGAAATATGTCCATGATAATATTTGATCACTGGCATATGTTGAGTTAAATTTGAGACATAATAGATTTTTTTTAATATAATTGATTTATAGTTGATCATTTTTGTATACTACATTTTGGCCCTTTGGCAGGGAGAATTAATTGAATGTGGTGGTTGTCGTGACCGAAGTTGTCCATCCCTGGTATACAGTCTATGGGTTAAACCCAATCAAGAGAGGATACATCCGTATTTTAAATATTCTCATTTCTTCTCAGTTTGTATTGTACAGATATACTCACTTAAAACCTCAATTAAGTCCGATTCACCTGGATTTACATTGTTTGGTCAAGAATTAATTTACACACTAATTGTTTTGTTTTGGCAAAATAGGACCAGCTCTGTTTATTCCGGTTTCTGATCCAGATATGACCGGTTCCCACAGTAAGAGTTAATTCTGCCTTCTGCTGCAGCACCTCTGTCTGTCTACAGTGCTCAAGTATAAGAGAACCATTATGTGCTCAAATTATGAGCAAGATTTTGAAAAACACTTAAGCCATGAGTCCAAGTCTACACAGGTCAACCAAGCCCTCTAAGAAAGTTTGTGCATTTTAATATCCCACCCCCCCTCTCCTAATTTTATAATGATAAACTGTATTGTTTTAAATACAAACCCGAAACCTTTCAAGTAAGAAAGGTATCAGATTTTAAGTGAATTATCCCATAAACTTCACCACCTTGTTTTTTTTTTAGGGTTAAATGTTCCCCTTCTGCAGATGTTTACGATAGTCTATAAAAAAACATTCTAACCAATGACCCCATCTTTGCCTGAGTAATACATCCGTTTACCCCCTTCATTTTCATGAAAAGCAGTAGAGTAAATGTTCTAAGAGAAGTACCCATCACACAAAAAACACACGGGCACCTTATGTTTACATTCATTTATAAAAGAGAGATACAACCATACTGTAAGCACACATTGTTCTGCTTTGTTGAAAATGTAGATAATGTCGATGAACCATCTCATGCAAATGGACAAAAGGAAACACTGGAAGACAAATGCACCATTAAATCACAAAAAACCCTTCTTAAAAGCCTGATTATGTATGTTATTGTGAAGAAAAAAAAATTCTGTGGAAAAAAAGAGGAGACATCAGAGAGAGAGAGAAAGTTGAATTAACTGGAAAATGAAACGGGAATGGCAACAACACACTGCATTACACCAAAACTGTTAATGTTTCTAGTTATCCATAATGACAAATAAAAAGGGATAGTTGAATGTACTGTTTGGCCAAAGAAAAAAACTTTTGTTTCAAGGTGTGAGTTTTAACTTTCTGCAACATACAGTAAATAGGAACAAAGAAGGCACCTCGATTCACTGGTATTATTTCACGGGCCCCTCGTACTGGTTGTAAAACTTTCTTTATAGGAAAATAAGTACATTTCGTGGCACCCTTTGGGATCAATTATAAAGTGCCACTGACAAAAAGAAACACATCAACAATTCATTCCTTCATTCACACTGATAATCCCAACCAGAGCCACACATTCAGCCTGTTCAGGGACAGGCAGGAACACACACTTACAATTCACCAGGTAGTGTCTTTTGCTAAAATCTCCCCATGTAGGATACATTAGGATCAGGTCTCGCTTATATTGCTAAAATCTGGATTATCACCTGTTTCAGAGGTTCCGTACGACAAAACAGTTAATTAGTGCAAATTTCCTCTGTCAGAGGTGAATTTCCTCACCGAGGAGCGTTTTGGAGGCAGAGCACTTGTATTTTCACATCAAAGTTACAAAGTTGTGTCAATAGATACGGGTGCTGTGTATTACATTTGATATGGGTCACTGACTTGCAGTGTTGTAATATTTCTCGGCCTGGCAAACAGAAAGGTATCTGAAATCTAACAGGAGATAGATCAATATCAGGACAACAAGGAGGAAGAAAGTCTGTAATACCTACTCTGAAACACTCGTACCTTGTCACACATGAATCTACACAGTTACAATTTCACATTAGTAAACTAGTAATACTCCTACCATATGGTTCTGAAATGTTTAAAATGCTACAAATACCACTTCCTTGTAAAAGATACACAAATCATTCAGATGATGCCATATTCAAAAATGGCATTGCCACACTCAACACTGGACAACACCAATGTTTTGACTGTCGAGAATATATATTTCTAACCCATTTTTTTTTTTTTTTTGTCTTGGAAAACTAAATGCACATCAAGAAGTTTGAGAAAGTGGAGCTGCATGGCTGTGACAGAAGCAAAGCGTACCAGTCGAGTCACTTCATCTCAGTCTCTCCAGTGCAATCAAAACTCCTGTTACTCTGTTCTGGTTGCTGTATGTATTTGTCTTTTGTACTAAGTCGCCTGCCGCACTAGCTTATTCAAATAGAAGTACAAGATGTAGACAAGCTGACTTTTTGTTACTGAGTGCTGATTGGAAGATGGGATTGAAATCAAGGAGAAGGGGTTTTGATATCTTAAGGGCATTCGCTTTCCAACTCTTAAAAAACCTAGATATTTATCAAAATATATCCATCTTAGTGTGTGTGATGTGTATTTGTGTGTGTGTGTATGTGTGTTTACTCTCAGAGGAGTGTGGATTTGAGAAAATAATCTGTAAACTTTGCTCTTTCGCACTGTGCAAACTGCATTATTTTGAGGAGATGGGGGAGAAGTGGGAGAAGAATGCAGCAGGTTAAATTTGGCAGCGCAGCAGTTGAAGGGGAGGTGGCAGTTCTGTAGAAGGAAGGAAGGAGGGGCTGGGGAGGGGAGGGGTGGGGGCATGTTTAGCCTAGCTCTGCAGCAGGATGGGGTCTTCTAGCTCATGGAAGCCAGGCACCGAGCTGCTCTGGCTCTCCCCGGAATCTGAATCATAGGGCGCATCAGGTAGCTCCGTGAAGCCCCAAGCCAGCTGGTCATCCTCAAACTCGGAGCGCACCTGCACGGGCACGTCGGCACACTCCTCCTCCTCGTTGGAGTGGAAGTCCTGCGGGATGTAGAGCATCTCAGGGTAGTTGCGTGACACCAGGTCACTGGTGGTGGCCAGACACACCTTGCGGAAGGCGATGAGATGCATGTGGGAATACTTGACGTATTTGTAGCGCTTGAAGCCCAGCGACTCGACAGCGACGCGCCAGCTGCGCATCATGAGGGCGTGGCGGTTTTGATGGGAAGAGTCGGGCGTGATGATGAGCAGCAGGCCGTGCAGCTCCAGCAGCTCGTGGGCCTTTTTGCAGCAAATCCAGCGCTGGTATGGGGAGGGGAAGTAAGACAGGAGCAGGGAGAAGACAACCACGTGGAACAGCTGGGCAGGCAGAGAGTCGATGGGGTTGTGGAGCTGGCGGAGGAACGCCTCGACCGCGTCACCAGCCAGCTGCAGAGGCTGCTGGAGCTGAAGGTTGAGGAAGTCACACTTGTACACACTCTGAAGGAAGAGAAAAATATGCAGAGAATCAGCACTTTCAAGTGGTTTAAATGGGATTTTCTGTAATAGCCATTGCACTTAAAGAAGCTTCTCTACTTGCAGCTGCAGAATGCAGACTGTGTTTGTTCCGCTTTCTGCTGAAATTGTTCACAAAGACTGTAAAACCACAACACTGATACCCCCGCATGAGTCATTTCTGGTGTTGCTCTGTAATGCTAGCTCTGAGTTACCAGACAGGAAAAACGTGTGCATTTAATTTGCTTCGTCTTGAGTTCAACCTATGTTTCTGTTCAGAAAAACAAGTGGATTAAATCAGCACTCTCACCTCAACTGCAGGCACTATGTCAATACCAACTGTGAGGAACTCATCAAACTTCAGGAAAGGGTTGAAGCAGCTTCCCACATCTAGAAGGCGCATTTTTCCCAGCTGAGAGATCGAACTGCAATAAAAATGTGGAAGAAGTTTCAAAATCAACATTTAAACGTCCAACCAGCATGCAAAAGTGAATAGACTGGATCAAAGGGTGCCTCTGGTAACAACCACATGGTAACATACATATAAAGACATAATACATGTTTTTTTTTACACAACAGACATTCCATGAAAAAGCCCACTGAACCAGTCAATAAAAATAACTGACTACAACATTTAATGCTATAGAAATATTGTGTGTTACAAAGGATGAAAGACAATTAAAAAGATCGTGTCAATGACACAGTGCTACATATACACTAAAAAATGTACAGATACAGTCAATGCAAGGAAATGCACTTTGCCAAGACACATCAAAACCTAAAACTACTTCTAAAATTGAAAGAATAAATGTGCAATAAAACATTCTGAAAAAGAAAACCATTCGGAAATGAATATGACTTTATTAGCAAAACTGGCCGAATAGCCTTTGTATAAAAAACAAGAGGAAAACAAACTCCTATTCCATAATTAGCCAGAACACCCTAAAACACTATTATAATTATATATCAATTATAATGTACACTCACCGACCACTTTATTGGTAGAGCTGTTCAACTGCAAAGGTCCCTGTGATTGAGCATCATTTAAATGTCCATCCCTTTATGATCACAGTGTGTACCCATCTTCTGATGGCTACTTCCAGCAGGACAACACACCATGTCACAAAGCTCACATCATATCAAACTGGTTTCTTGAACATGACAATGAGTTCACTGTTCTCAACAGTCACCAGATCTCAATCCAAAAAAGAGCACTTTTGGGATGTGGTCGAAAAGGCAGACTCCTCTAATGGATGTGCAGCCGACAAATCTGCAGCAATAATGTCGACCAAAATCTCTAAAGAAATGTTTCCAGCACCTTGTTGAATCTATGTCACGAAGAATGAAGGCAAAAGGGGATTCAACCCGGTACTAGCAGGGTATACCGAATAAAGTGGCCGATGAGTGTATATATTTTATACAATCAGGTTTTTCCAAATGTTAACCACTGATTGAAAAAAAAAATGTCCGACCTGACTTTAACAGTTTTATAAGAGAAGAGTTGACTCGATACAACTTTATTACTAAGCAGTGAACACTACACACATTTAATGTAACTCATATATCTCTGGACCACAGAGGACGAGAAATACTTCAGTGACATGTTAATCTATGTGACCACCTTCATGTTGAAGATTTCAGATTTGATATTGATTTCAGAATTTCATGTTCAACGTGAAAGTTCATTTTAAACAATAATGTTGAATTGAAAAAGCTTTCAACCACCGCCTTCTCTCCTCTGTCTACCACAAAGAAAATAACCTCTTCTAAGCATGTACTAATGCTTTACCTCCTACCTGATTGAGAAATACTTTCAATGCTGCACACTTTAATATTGTTTGTGCCAAACACTGCCAACAGCATTGTCAACAGTAGAGCTTCAGAATTGTAGTCGAAGTTAAATAGGCTTTCATATTTACATACGGATATTCTGTTCTGTCCACACTTGTAATGTGTCACATGTCACAGACTATCAGCTTTTAAATCTGTGAACACTCCTGCCACGCTGGAATGGGATATTATAAGTTTCACAGACGTCAAAACACTTTTACAGAAATGACTTTCCTCTGCAGTGGGGGAAAGTTTAGAGGCTGTTATTGTCGCTGTTGTTCTGAAACATACTTTATATTTTCGGCAGTAAGTAGCTTCCATATGAAAGTCTAACGAGTGCTTTTTATACAGAGTACACTAATGTCCAGAGTAAATCAGTATTAAATCGTGGTGAAGGTTTAACAGCTCAAAATCTAACACAATAAGGAAAACATATTTGGAAGACATTTTCTTTGGTGTTGTGAAGGATCATTTTGTTGTAAAAGTTTGATACCTCTTGAGTTTCACTATCAAACCTTCTTGCATACAAGCTGAAGGCAGCATCGTAAAGATCAGTTTTCTGGTGAACACTTTATAGAAGCTAGTGTGCAGTTTGGATTCATCTTACCTGGGGTTGGTGATGTGCTGTTGGGCACTTACAGCCGTTGCAGTCAGGCCCATGGCAAGCATGGCACTTTTCTCATCCTTCTCCAACATTCTTTTCATCCCGCCATCCAAAAAATACTCCTGACAGACACTGTGGAAGATGAACAGAAACGTAACTTAAAGCTGGCAGGTGACACACGTGTTAAAAGGTCACTATTCCGGGGGGGGGGGGAAACCGCAGCTGAGAGGCTGACTTGCCTGCGACACCATTCGATGCGGCCCTCTCCTTCGCGGTTTTTGGTCCAGTGGTTGTCAGCTAGATTCTTCATGGCGAGGGCGTACTCACTCAGCGTCTGCTCATCCTCACAGTGCTCGCGCCAGATCTTTTCAAAGTCGCCCACTGAGAGGAAAAAAAATGGAAAGTCAAGACAGAACCAAGACACGTTAAAAAAAAAAAAAACCACAGAAAGTAAATGAAGACCTCACAATTTAGAGGAAGGCTTTCAAAGTGAGCTTAGTCTACTTGTTTCGTCATCTTTCTGAATGTCTCACTAAAGCCAGTAGAAAACAACTTACTTGCCAACTTTGGACAGTACTCCTTTTGAAAAATCAGCTAAAAAAAAAGAAAGCGCTCCAGTACAGTTACTGCTGCACTGCCTACATGTTTACTCGTGTCTGCCAGCACAGTAAAGAAACTGTATCTCTATTTTATTAGTCACCACAAAAACTTCCTGCAGCACATCATCGCAGTCTGAGAGGTCTAAAGCCCGAGCAAAGGCAAACACGCTGCTGAGGGAGAAATCTCATGACCACAAGGAAAAAAAAAAAAAAAAAAAAAAGTCTTTATCAGATTTTACAGAAATGAAAGCACAACAACAGGAGTGGTGGTAAACAGCAGGGCTCTGGAGGCATGACCACTGTGATTCAATGCCAAGCCTACCAGATCATGCTTTACTTATTAACCAATCATGGGGTCGGCTTGCAGGACGACTAACTTTATTTTGATGCTCTAGATTGTAGCTATAGAGTGATCTAAGGTGGAAACTTCTGAAACTTTTTCGTTTACCTTTTTCATTATTTATATGTTTAGTTTGACAATTAAGAGCAGTGAAATGGTCACATAGTTGTTGTTTTCTTTACCAAAGAAAAAAACAGGATAATAATTCAACATAGAGACAATCTCAATCATGATATCTGAAGTTTCATTCTTGCTTAAATACATCCTATAAGCCTGCATACAGTCATATAGATAGTACATATAGAGTAACAGGTGTTACTCTTCTGTCATTAGAAGATAATGATGAGCTAATGCCAGGTCTCTTTTCTCTCGAAAAATATTTGCTACCTGCTGTAAATTCCCCTTTTTGTTTTTCTCCTCCTACGCAGTCCCTAGTAGGACTTAGCATTTCCTTGTAAAAAGCCTCCGCATGGGTAGGCATTCTAAGTTTTTTAATCCTGGGCACTTCAGCATTTCTGGCAGGCAGTTAACTAACTAACAACAAAAACAACAACATACACAATCAGTCTTCAACTTCAGGCTTCATGATGGAATAAAGCTTTTACGAACCAGCACTATAGATGAAAATATCAGAAGTCCGAGGTCAGTGCTCAGTATTGCAAAAGGGGTATTTTTTCCAAACTTCCCATTTTACACCCTGCTCTTATCCAGAATGACTCAAAACAAGCAGAAGAAGAAGAAGGCGGCATTATCTCTCAGGACAGAACGCTTCTGATGTTCACACGGACACTAGTGGATATAAAACCCTGATATTATGGATCCATTCACTCATTTTCTTTCATTAACTGGAGCTCAGCTATATATATATGTACATATATATATACACACATATATAGGTTTAGCATGTTTTTTTGCCTATTTTATTTGCAAATACTTTTGAGTGAAGATCTGTAAGTTTTAAGCAAAAGGAACCTCTTTATTAGCATTTTGTCTTAAAAATCTCAAACTCATCTGCTCGTACTATTCAAATCACTTTTTGGGCTTCCTTTTGGTACTTCCCCAAATCTTAAAAACAGAACAAAATCCTCCCTATAGTGGTTTCTGCTGTCAGTTTACTTTACCAGCTGTATATATCTTTATGGACTTTCCTTATTAGTAGTACTCTGATGTTCTTGGGTGACACTTTCACAGCCTGCCTGACTCAGGAGACTGTCCAGGACAAAGCTGTTTTTGTCCCTTTATGAGAAGTTGCAACGTCTTCACTTACTACACGTTTCTGGACCTCAGGCCAAATCAGAAAATAAAAAGACAAGCATAAAGCAGCAACAAACTCACCTAGAAGAGGTGTTCGCTATACAACACACTATGGAAACAACACGTGCTTTTTCTCCAAGCTAAAGCTACTTTAGGGTGACATGAAGTGGAAATGGGAGCCGGAGGGTAAAAGCACTAAATGCAACAGCAACATCTAAACGTGAATGTTAAACAGACCGCCTCAAACAAAGATGCTCTCGTAGACATTTGCCGGAAATCTCTGGAAAGGGAGATATTGTACTTGCTTATTTTACTTTTAAAATACTTAAGAGTGACGCAACAGCTCCCTGTGTCTAGTTATGCATCATATGACTATTGTGGGGGAACAGTTGCACATCAATAAGCAATACTGGATTTGCAAGATATGCATCAATTATCGGTTAAGGCCACACTGAAGTATGCTCACACTAGCAGGTACTCACTTGTTTCAGATCAGACTCAGTCTCTGTCTTAGTCCAACAGCCTTTCCCCTCACAATCATCCTTTGCATGTTTAGATCTAAACCTGATGTAAAATCCCCTCACACGAACTCCAGACTTTGTTTTCTAATGTCTGTGTAACACTACATGAGAGGATCTTGGGTTCCTCTTGGGGAAAATAACTGATGCAAGAGCTTTACTAGTTGAGCATAAGGAGCCATCTTGCTTGTAAAAGTTGCACCAAATGTTTGTCGAGTCCACAAGAGTTATCACTTATGGGCAATAGAAAGTCATTCATTGTCAGCTGATAGCCTCTGCTTGTATCTCTCATAAGTAACCCATTAAAGTATTTATTGTCAGTACTCTAAAAAAAGAAACAAATATCACGTTTACGCTTTTGACTAGTAGTTTAAAAAAAATTGTTATTGTTAGTGTTATTGTTAAGCAGCTTTCAAAGGCCTCGTTTGCTGAATTGCAACCCGACTGCGGTCTGCCTCCATAACAGCTAACCAGCTCCAGAGCAGCACCGTCAGCTGTGAGTGGGTTAACATTGACAAGCATACCACACAGTCATGCTCGGATTCAAGCTCACGGAACATTATTCACTTCTCTATTCCATCGTTCAGAGTGTTAGCTACTCGGCCGCAGGGCCATGGAGAGCTCAGAGGGGCCCACCGAGTCTGCTTACCCTCTCTGTATTTCCTGCGCAGTTTTCTGTGGACGTTTTTGACGACCCCCGACAGCTTCTCCTGCACCCTCTTGCACGGTTCTTCATCCGGGATGGGCATGTAGAACAGCTCCTGGTGGTTTTCCGTCTCCCCGGTCTCGACATTGTCCCTGAGGTCCATAGCACCGTGCCGCCGCCGCCAACGCCGCCTGCCCCTTGCCAGTGGCTTCCCCTTTTCCCAGCTGCAAAACGGACCGGCGAACCGGTGCACAGGCCAACAACAAGCAAGCTTATTGGCTGACTCTGACAGACACGCTTAGCAACTGACAGTCCGTCGTCCAATCACAGGCGTAGAAAACGCGCCTAATGCTGTAAGTGCATGCCGTGCAGCGTTTAAGTCGACCTTGTAAATCTCATGACTTCTGAAGCTAACTGAACCATAGACTGTAAATATTAGCACTAAACGCCTTATAACACCATTAAAAAAATATGTTTTTATATTCAATATTGCATTTTACATTTAAGAATTGTAAACAAAATGTAGATAAAAACAATAAAATAGTAGTTTAATGTATTTAATTCTACACTCAAGCATTGTTAAACCGTAGTGTCAAACTATGAAATGTACTGTATATTCTTGTTTACAATGTTTTCCTTTCTCTGGTTGTAAATATTATCAGATGTTGCAATAAGTTTTACAACAGTGCAATACACATATGACATATGACAAATAATACTTTTGAATTATTATAGAGTATCCATTATATTCTACATGGTATCCATTATGTTATACCGTTGTTACTTGATAGAATTGAAATAAAGTAAAAGAAAACGACATGTATGCATGTTGGACCTTTTAAAGTCACATGTTAATGTGTAGTTTTTATTTATAGGATAAAAGAGTTTCTGTAAACTGTGCTTAATCAAATACTTTTTTGAAGGCCAGGTCAGCACGGTTCCCCTCATGAGCCTATAGGTCAGCAGTAAGGTCATTTATACCCACAGCAGTTGAGACCAAAAACATGTGTAAACATGTTAAGCAAACAACCTACTATTCTTGGCCAAAATAACAACACATGAAATATACTTATGTAACTGTTTACTTAGAAAAGAAGGATCTATCTATGTGTTTGTGTGAAAACATAGGACTAGAAAAGGTCAAATACATATTCATTTAACAGTCAGACACTCTGTCTTGTTTGGAAGCTAAACAGTAATAGTTAAGATGTGTTGAATAATTTGTAAGTCAGTCTGACAGGGGACATTAATTCTGGTCTGAGATCCTGCCTTTATCTAATCAAAACAATCCAACACAGCCATATCTTTTATGGATTTTTTAAATACTCTCTAACACTTTGGTGTCTAAATGGAAAGCTCTGTCTATAATTAATGACACTGACCATTCTCACTTTTCTGTTTAACCATGTGAAACAAAAATATTTAGATGTTCTTTGCATTCAATTTAATGAATAAAAAACATAATATCTTTTTATGTCCCCGATTCCCCATCAACACTGTCCTGATTGTTAGTTGAATTCATGTAATGTGGGGTAATTGTGTAGCTACATTCAGAGTTTTTTTTATTTATTTCCAGACTGTAGCTATAAATTCTCTGAAACCCTCTGCCAGAACATAACTATCCCTCTCTTCCAAAAATAACACAGAGCACATGATGGTAACATCATTGTTTGTCTAAGCTGTAGCTGCAGCTAGGCCTGCTTTGTGCACAGTGATACTATTTAAATATATAATACATCAATACTTATATATTCTGAAGTTAAACAGGATTTATTTTGTAATAATAATAATCGGAAAGCCATGATAAAACATTTTTATATAAACATGTATAATCCATGAAATGATTGATGCATTACATGTGTGTATTTGAATAAGAAAAAAATAATATTTTTAATATCTTAATAATTGAAACAAAAAAAATAAATCTCTTACACTCCTTATGTACAATGGCTGCTTTTTAGTAAAATACTTCATGGCTGTAGAAGTTGATTCGTCTATCCACAGTGTGTTTAATTCATCACTGCTCAGAAATCCTAGAAAGAGGTCAGACAGGCATCTGTTTATGTGGAAATGAAGACAGTTAGCTGCAGTGTGCAGCAGCTATTAAACACTGTAGTTGTTATCAGAATCTAGTTGAATAGGTTCAGGGTTCAGCCGACATATTCTGATGATATGACACCTAAATAAGCTTCTGCTGCACAGCTGATAAAAATTAATTGCACAGCAATCACGTCAGGTCAAATAACAGAGTTACACATGAACAAGTCAACAAATGATGTAACAAGTTTTTAAAGAAGTATCTTACCATAAAGAAGTATCTTACCATCTTTACCATTTAAAGAAGTATCTTACCATTTGTGATTCCTCTTCAAACTGCATTTAGTCTTAACCTCTAAAAGATACATGGGGAAAAAATCATGAGACATAAATTCCTGAACTGAATTTAAATGAATAGAAAGTCACATTTGCACAAAGAGATAAACCGCTCTTTATGTCTGACTTGACCAATATGTTTCTGTGTTTCTGTAGGTGCATGCCAGAAATGGTTCATCAAAGAAAAGTGAGCTGTAATCCTCACAGTGAACTGCTTGGAAATCCCCTGGCAAGTGCATTACTGCAGCTGTGTTCAGCTCCAAAATACAGCTAAAAGGCAAAGTTCAACAAGGCGGAAGAAATACTTAAGTGCCTCAATGTGACCCTCTTCTCATTCATTCTGACAATACATTTCTCAAAACATTTTAATCAGAGCTGCCAGATAGTCAGAGGAGTCCTCTGCTGAGACATTTATTGTCAGGGCCTAAAAGTCAAACAAGCCCGACAGAAGTGGCCTGAATTTGACTCGAGGTTCTCTTTTTTTCAGATTTACTTTGTCATGGAAATGAAAGCAGACATGTATCCAAATATTTATTCACTCTGTTTTCCCATGACAACGAGTAGTTTACACTCTTGAAATCTTGCCTTATCTATCTCCTATTTCCAGAGTTTTAATAGCACAAAACAAACAAGGCTTGTTAGGCTAAGCTTACCTCATTAGCGTGGGCAATGGCAGCATGGCAGGTCTAATTCTGGCCAATCACAGTGAACAACAGCCTGTTTCCTTTTCTAGATTATCAGAAAATCTTCTTGTTGTCACGAGAAAACAAGCTATGTAATATCAAGGTGATAAAATGAATGAATAATCGGAAAACCACCTTTAAAAAAATACTGGAAATTACCCGTCATCAAGGAAAAATTGAGTTAATAAAATGTATGAATGCATGTCTGTTTAGGGCTTTTATGAAATAAAAGGAATAACCTCTCAAGACTATTGACATTATTCTGTCCCAGGGGCTGTTTTTTCATGCACAAATATTGACTGGCAGGCGACCCTTTTGAAAACCCCATACAAGACATCTAAACAGGATAAGAGTACAGGTTTCCTACTTCTGTTGGTTTGCTTGATGCCAAACATATTTTAATAGTGATAAGCAGTGATAACAGGATACCTACCACATTTGATCAGAATGCAGGCCGAGATAAACACATTTCAACATACCAGAAACACGACTAAAAATCCAAACTGTCGGGTCAGGATCCGGATGCTTGTATAGTTTTAGGTGTGACCGCAGATCTCTCACATAACATAACGATCTTCATGATCTGCGACGAACATGCAGAATTTACGAGGAAAGAAATGTATTCTATACTCCGGTTGTTTTTTTTAAAGGTCACATATTAATGCAAAAAAACACTTTACCATGTTTTTCTAACACTTGTATGTGTCCCTATAGCCTGCTCTCCAAATTCCCCAATTATGAGGAAAGTCCATCCTCTCAGTCTTTTGCCTGCTCCGCTTTTCAGAAAATGTCTGCTCAAACAGACTGTTTGGAGATTTTCCCTTCATGACATCACAAAGGGAAGTAACCCCTCCACTAGGTGGGTGACACGCCCACAGCTAGGTGTTTGCTCTGCCTGCTGAGTCCGCCGTTACGCTGTAAAGAATAGGGCACGCTGCAAGAAAGCCAGAGGGGCCTGTTCAGACTTAAGACTGTAGACTGATTAGGATACCATGGGCAACTCGATTTGGAGATTTTACGGACACGTCTTTAACTGGGAGGAGACCCCGGGGTAGACCCAGAGTTTGTTGGAGAGATTATGAATCCCAACTGTCCTGGGAACGCGTTAGGATTTTTTAAGGAGGAGCTGGAAAAGGTTGCTGTGGACAGGGTTGTCTGGGTTGACTTGCTTTGCCTTCGGCCACCACAACCCCAGAAAAGCAGAAGAAAAATGGACGTACAGTACGTCTACAAGTACACTAGGGTTGTGGGTTGTAATACAAAGGAGGTAAACAGGTTGAATTTATTATCAATTTATTCAATCAAGATTTAGTAAAACTAAAGTTGAATCTACACAAATACACACACACACACACACACACACACACACACACACACAACACACACACACACACACACACACACACACACACACACACACACACACACACACACACACACACACACACACACAACACACTGATGACTTGTATTTACACCTGAATAATGCAGAGTGTGGTGCTAAGCAGAATTGATCAGTGTGAGTGATGGTCCATGGCGTTTTGGCTACACTAAGCTGTATGTACATTTAAGCATACAAAAACCTGGTTTATACTCTTGACAACAGAGAGTTAGCATCCTCCCATAGGGATTATAGAGAATTTATTCTGATATGTTTCGTATATGCTCTACATCAATGCCCATCATTATTTTATAGTTTTTGTTTTCGTCTTCCTCCTTTGTTTTTCCATTTCGACTGTTACTATTTGTGTAGGTCATGTGATGATATCATCTGTTGTGAAAAAATAAATAAAATAAAGGTATTTTCAAAACTAAAAAGACCTACAGATCTTTATGGGTGTCATGCAAGAACATTGTTTCCTCATAATCCTCAGGAATCCTTGTTAAATCCTTGGTTGAAACTTTACTCTTGGATTCAAGCTATCTTTTTGTTGTTTTTAACTGGCTGCCTCTCTCCTTGACACCAGAGCCAAACCAATGAAATCATGTAGAGCCCGAAACAGGCCAGAAAATCATAATGGTAGGCCACAACCAAAAATATCACTAACAAGATAGCATATAACGAAGTCTTTCCAATGTTGCTGCAGGAAAAAGTCTCTCTCCACCATGAAACGTTTCTGCTGAGGTTTTCCTGCTCACTTGCCTCAGGCAGAGGTGAAGCATTGGGTTGGAAGTCTGCTGTGAAGTCTGTGTCGACATGATTGTCCTGGAGGCAGCCGACATGTTGATCCTCATCCAGAGACTCACTGATGGAGGGCATGGGCGTGGACAGCAGTTTGCTTTTGTTTACGGAGGGTCTTCTGCCCACCCCAAATCCTGTGTCTTTGTTCCTGTCCCTTTGGGCCTGTGCCCCGGTGTGAACGGCCCTCAGACAGTGCATGTACAACTCCACCTCGTCGTCCGAGTCTGACTCTGATGAAGCGCCGTCGTGGCCTGTTTTGTCAATTTCAGGTCTGTCGACAAAAATCAGTGAGCCTCCCTCTGCAGCAGTGGACTCATTCTCCTCTCGCTCTGCATGGGATATGTCATGTGTGACTTTCTCACTTCCTTGAAAATCTTCCTCTTTGTTCATTTCAGTTTGGATGTGTGCATTTTGCAATTCTCCAGTAATGTTTTTTTCAGAACTACTGTCATGCACATTGTTCACCCAAGCAGATAAACCATCCTCAACCTCTCCTTGAGTCCTTTCTAACCTCTCTTCAGAACACCATGCTTCATTTTCCCTTTCCTCTATTTGTGTGTTCTTTGACTCTCCAGTCTTAAAAACTAGAATATCCTCCTCACAGTCCGGATTCTCCTCTTCTACGTTTTCTTCCCTTGTTTTTATCTCATCCCCCCACTCTGTACCTGCTTCACCCTCATCTTTCAAGTGCATTTCTTCTTCTCCCTTTATCTCCTCTTCTTTTTGAACATCTTCACTTCTAATTTTGGCCTCTTGTATCCCTCCTAAGTGCTTTTCTCTCCCTAACTCTGTCTTCTCAGTTAGCTCTTCCTCCTCGGTGGTCTTTATCATCGTAGTGGCTTGAACATTTTCCTTCTCAACCCGTCCCTTTCTGTCCCTGCAACTATACCCCAGATGTCTTCCTCACCAAACCTCTGCTTTTCCTTCAAAAGATTTGTAGCTTCAGCTTTGCTCTTTTTCTCTCTCACAGCTATGATCTCCCACATGAGTTCCTCCTTCGATTTCTCCTCGTCGCCCTCTGTCGTATCTCTATTTTCTGATGTGGCCTCCATCCCCACACCCTCCAACTGTTCAACGTGGTCTTCTTCTACTGCTTCAATGTCCCCTGCTTTCAAACAAATTTCCTCATTGATGTCAATCTCCTCTTCTTCTTCTTCGACCATCATTTCCCAGTTTTTAATCTCAGTAGTGACTTCTGTGCGAGAATCCTCCAATTCACAAAGCTCTATTTTAGCTGAATCAATCATTTCTCCTTGTTTCAGAGTGTCTTCATCTTCAGGCTCTATAATCATGTCACCATGTATGTGATGGTTACTCATCATCATCACTGACTCATCACCAGTTACATTACTTTCAGCACAGAGTTTAGTTTCATCTGTATGTGATTTTGTCACCTCTTTTTTCTCTCCTACCAAGTTTTTGGTTTCTCCTTGAGTTTCAGAAGATATCAGATGTGATGTGACACCCTTTCCCTCAAATGCCTCCAAACTAAAATCAAAGCTAGCATGGGTATCTTTATCAGCTGGATTATCAGTGCAGCTATGATTCAGTTCATGTGAATCTTCTAAAGTTTTATTGTCCTCTGATGTGACAACGGTTGGGGTCACTCTGTTGCCAACGTCTTCCTCTTTCTTTGCTCCTGTGCTGCTGGTCTGTTGGTCTGACTCATCCCTCAAATGACCTGATTCTCTCTCAGAAGGTGACATCAATGAGGTTTCTAGACTGGTCATGATGTATTTGGTTTCACTATGTGTACGTTTTTCATCAAACTTCGTTGTTGTTTGTGTGCATGCTTGCTCTGACAGTTGAGCCGTTTCCGCTGTGGTTTGGCTTTGAAGGTCATTTGTTGGAATGTCTTCCTGTTTATCTCCCTGGAGATCTGAACTCTCAGTGGATATTTCTGGATTCAACAGATATGTATTTATAATATCAACAGCTTGTGACTCTACTTCTGTTTCTGCAGCATATGTTTTTGGAACTTCAAATGCATTTGTGCATCTCTGCATCTCATTCAAATCCTGCAAAGTTTGTGCAGTAACCAGGACGTTATTTGGGGTTGCACCCAAACTTGTGCCTTCTTGTTTCATTGAAGAACTAATTAGAGAAGAATCTAAGCCTTCTTGGATTGATGATTGAAGGGTCTTTGTTTCATCTGCGAGCGCTTTGTCAATGTCAGCCCTAGCATCTGTTGGAACAGTGCAGTTTGTCTCCTTTCTTTCAGTGTTAGTGAAGTCTTCAACATTTGGTGTAGTCTTCACTGGATTCCCCCGATCAGCTAAGCACTGACTTTCAGCTCCTGCTCTTTCAAACACCTGACGATACAACGGAGCCACCACAGTTCCAAATGTGAAGCTGTTGGACTGGCTAACAAGGCCTTCACTGCATTCTCCTGTAAAATCACTGCCGGCTGGTTCAGCTGCATTATTGTTTTTATATTCACAATACACAAAACCTTCTTTCTGACTGCTTCCCTCCGATTTGGAGACACACTTGTTGATGTTTGGGTGTTCAGCTGGAGCAGGCTCATCATTTGAAAGCAATGTGTTGTCTGGGATCTCGGAGGCACTCTCACCTCTTGTTAATGTGGCCGAGTCAGCCAAATTGATGCTCTCAGATTTCTCTGTCTGGCTGTTTGAGGTGTAGTCGTGTGCTGGTGCTGTATTCTGTTGAACATCAATGAGAGGTTTGCTGCGTGTTTCCAGAGAGTCAGAGAGCAGCTGTGAACTTTCTGCGGCGTTGCTTCCCTCGGAGAGCGTCTGCACATCTGAGTGCTTTTCCTCTTGAGCTGTCTGTTTTGCTTCTGGAGGTGAATCATCTCTTTCAGCATCAACTGCTCCATTTCGTTGAGCAAAGTAGTCCTGTACCCGAGCCATCCGCGCTGCCTTTCTGCGGCTCCTTCGGCTGCAGTTCCGTCTGCTCTTGGTCTGTCCATCAACAACATGGATACATTAATTTTAGTTTGCTCACACAAAAGTTATGCTGCTCTTGTTAAAGGGAGGGGGGTGGCATTTAAAGTTGCATGTCACAAATGTATTCAATTCTTATCTGCATTTTTGATTAAACACATATAACCACATTTTAAAACATTTTTAAAAATAAAAGCATTCATGACAAAAAATAGACACCTATGACTGCAAGAAATCAAACTGTACACAGTGTCCTTTAAGCGTCCTGTACCTTATGTTACACTGATGCTACTCATGTCTGAGTCATGTGACTTTCTCTCAAAAGTGCACCGGGTTCACACTAATGTTTCTCTTCCTCCTATTATAGACAGACTATGATGTCCTTAAACCACCTTTCACAGCCATGAATCTTAACTCCTGTTTAAAATACTTCTTGGTGTCTAGTGAAAAGGGTTAACAACGTAAAGATAATCTCAAGAATCTCTTCAGTCACACTAACCTCAAATATTGTGGAAACGTTAAACTGAAAATACACTTGCGAGCACAAAGTCACTGAAGTGGCCTTTTATGTCTGCATATGTGGCTTGGAAGTCTAAACACAAGCCACATTTTTTTTTTAAATAAACCAAACAGTTGTGTCTTAGTACCAAGAAAGATCACTTACACACTCACCAGTATTTTCTCACCATCCTCCTCTGATGTTCCTGACTGAGCATCAGAGATTTGTTTGGCCTGCATTGTGTCCACTTCCTGTCCTTGTTTTGACACATCTGGAGACACACATTTAACATTTGTAATGAGGTTGCACTACAGTGGCCACATTTTGTTTTTGAATGTCTTGGTTAATAACTTGATTTCACAACCAGCAAAATGTGTATTCACCTGTTTTTTACTTTCCTGAAGGGACGTTTCCATTGCTGGGTTATTTTCCAGAGTGGAGAAGTTCTGACTGTCGATTAATAAAACAGCAAAAAGTCAGACTTAATCCATGTGTCTGTCTCAGATTTATCTCTCTATGGTACTATCACCAATCAACAAATCACATATGGCTGCAATATTGATGAACATTTATCAATTTAATGCAAACATTTCATGAAGATTGAATAATGTTTATGGGTGCAGAATCTGACTGACCATATTATTAATATTAATATTAATATTAATATAATTTGACTTTCCATTCATGAATAGCCTGCATTCCTTGAACTATTTCTGCCATGGTAGTAGTTTTGTCACTATGCCATAATGTAGAAAATATTTCCACCACTTATGGGATATGACTTTTCCTCAAACATAAAAGAATACAGGCCTTACATAATCCATACATAAATAAACAAACGTATAATTTACTTACAAACAGATTTTTCATAGTTTGAAGCATCCATACAATATAAAGGCTCTTGGTAAAGAACAGCCTTCAAAATAATTTTATCAAACTTTCCATCAGGCTACTACCTCAAGTTTAACATTCACCAACTTTTTTTCAATGTTGTCTTTGCCTTTCCAACTTCAGCATGGTAGACATTTGTCCCGACCATGTAAGATTCTCAATATGAATTCCATTAAAACATCATCAGTATTGACCTTTTCAAATCTATGTCAGTAAAACGCTTCATCCTCACCCGACACTCTTAAGACAGCTTTTCTTCTTCACGTTTTCTTTCTCTGTTTGTTCTCTCTGCTCCTTAGCTCTCTGGTGAAAGCACAGCATGTAGTTCCTGTTGTCATTGTTGGCCCAGAACGTCCCGACTGAAGTCTCATATCGCAGACAAAAGTCTACTCCGGCTCCCTGCTCCCCGAATGGGGGAATTAAGGTGAGTTTAAACGAGAAACAGTCCGTCAGACCCTCACTGGAGCCGGGCATGTACTCTGTCAGGAGGTCGAAGTGGCTGGACCAGGAGTCCAAAGATGTTCGGACGTACACCGCCTTATCGAAGGAGATGTTGAGGACCCGGATCACTCCTTTCAGTATTGTGGTCCCTGGAAGTAATTGGATGCTCTCCAACTCCAATTTCTGATCCCGGACTTTGTCGAACAACACCTCTCTAGACAATGGAAGTGAGAAATTCAGTGGAGATATAATGTATTCCACTGAAACTTTATCCTTCCCCTCGGAGGAGTCATATTCCGGCAGCTTGGGTACATCCCAAATGTCAAACTCCTTGACTTGCACCAAGCTGAGGCCGTTGGCGTCTGCAAATGACACTCTCCTGGAGCCACACAGGGGCGGCCCGGGCTCAGAGTCCTCGTCACTGAGAGAACTCTTTCTTCGCGGAAGAGGAGAAGACTTGGGCCTAATGCCGATCACTATATCACACTCGTCATCGTCCACATCCATGGAGATGAGACCCGGCACACCTAAGAGGTTGCAGGCCCCACAAGGTCTCAGTTGTTCCGCAGACTCCATGTGGCTCCCAGCGAGCGACTCAGCGGGAAGTGAGCTGCAGTGCTTCTGCTTCTGGCAACTGACATTCAACATGCTCTGACTTAACAGATGGAGTCGAGTTACAGATGACATTGTTGCAAGGGCCAACACTATAAATAGGGAGGAAAGGTCTTAAACTATGTACAGCAGGCTAAGCTCAGGAGGGGAATATATCATCCATGTAATTTTCAGTTTAGAAAGACAGAACCAAAATGTTCTTACAGCAAAACAATCATAATACATATGAGTGTTGCTAACATTATTCTTGTGTAACTGTCAAAAAAACTTCCCTTGAGACTTATGCTATTTGTATAAAAAGCATGAGACTTACCACGGCAACCATTTGTGTTTTGTTGTTTTTGGCTCACAATGTGTCACATGAGATTTGATGGGAGAACAAACTGTTTGGCCACAAAAACAATTTCCACTGACCAAGGCATTGGCTACAAGCTTTCCCCTTTCCCTGCATTTCTCATGTGATGCAGTTGTTTCTCTCTGTTTGTCTCTATGCCCGGCCATCTTCAGTGCTCCTCACCTGCTCCACTAATTTCCACGTCTTGACTGCAGCAGAACTGCTCACCTTTTTCGCCTCAAGTCGGTCCCTCTCGCCTCATTCAACGCTGTCTTCAAGCGGGGTAAAGGCCAGACAGTTTGTTCTTGTGCTCTATATTCTTTATTCCTTGTGCGTTGCTCGGTACTTCACTAATGTCTCCTGTGCTTCAGGATCAAACCAACATCTGCCATCATTCAGTCTTCAACCCTCGAGCAATATGTTCCTCTACTCAGCCACTCAGCGCCTCTCCTCTCCACGCTCAACCTCCACGTCAGATTAACCAGCCTGTAACCATTACTTCATTAAAACCTTTTCAGCTGATTTACCTGCGTCTGTGTTTTGCACTTTGGGTCAAAAGAAAACTCTCCGAACACACTCACTCCCCGGTATTGCAAAATCTGCAAAGCCTGAAAGTATGTTGGACGATACTACTCTCATACTTCAAATAATCTGCTTATCATATATCAAGATTTATCTGCAGAATTATCCAGCTGACAGTCATGCATTGTGTTGCACTTCCTGTGTTTATCTCACAGCTGTGACAAAGTGGTGTGTGTCCAACTCAAACCATGACCAAAGTGGTTATTCTCAAGTCTTACAGAGCAAACAAAACACATATTTTAACTGTGAGTAAGAGTGATTTATCTTAACTGTGGAGTGCTGAACCCTTCCTGAATCAGATATGAACAGTATAAAAGAGCTGAACTGTCAGACGATTTGGGAATTGATTCAGACAGGACACTTCCAATTTTACTCCTGTGCAAGAACTTGGAAGATAGTTAAACAATAAATTCAAAGAAAGGGAGACAAAATCAACACCTCACAGATACGTTATACATGGAGGAAGAACAAGCAGGATGTGATTTAGCAAATGTAATGAAGACGGAAGACAGGCGCGGTGAAATGACTGGAGAAGAAATGGCCTCAAAAGTGGCAGAGGCTGTTGAGCGCAACCCCCCCATTTGTCCACACAACTCCTCTGAGGATACTCACCGTCTCTCTAAGCCAACGCTGTCCTACCTTGCATTGATTGCAAAAGTCATCTTGTCCTCCCCTTCTCAGAAACTCAACCTGGCGTCTATCTACAGAACCATGGAGGAGCAGTTTCCCTACCTGAGAAGCCGGGGTCCGGGCTGGAGGAACAGCGTGCGGCACAACTTGTCTGTGAACGAGTGCTTTGTCAAGGTGAGCCGCTGCGAGGACGGTCGGGGCCATTACTGGGGCATCAACCAAGCTCACCTGAGAGACTTCCAACAGGGGAACTTCAGGGTGTACAAGAAGGCCAGAGGGAGGAGGGAGAAGGAGAGGGAGCCAGGTGACAGAGCAGCGAGGTGTCTGGTTTGGATGGAGACCTACCTTAGGCAGTTCTACTTGAGCAGATCTTTCGGTTGGGAGGAGCCACAATGCCCTCTGCAGGATCCAGGGAGGTATCAGATGTGTTACTGGGACTGGACCCATTCACACTATCAGCCTTGGATTGCAAATGTGGGCTGGGTACAACCTGCCAGACTTAGACTAACAGACTCAAATAGTAAGGCTACAGCTGTGAGAGGGCATGACAGTGAAACCGTGACCTCAGGACCCCTGCTCTGTCGGGAGATGAATGACCCGGTTCTCACAGGAATGGAAGAGTCATATGACAGCAGGTTCATGACTCCACCAGTGCAAACCTTCGTGCTTCCTGGCTGCTGGTGTTTGCCTCCTGTCGTCAAAGAGCAGATTAATTCTTCACCTTACAGATTCTACTTTTAAATACACCCCTGAACTGTCAAGACCCTCAACAAAACAATAAACTAGGGAGACTGTATGGGAAGGATTTTGCTGTTTATGAATAACACAATATGTAACTAACCTTCCAATGAATACATGAGGGCAAATACATACTGATCCAGTAGGTGGCAGAAAGTTACCTTGGTAACAACAGCTCAGTTTAAGTTTCTTTAAGAATTGTTTTGTGGAGAGAATTTTTTTGTTTTTTGTTTCCCTGCTAATTTTTTTAAATTTATAGAAATACATCACACATTGCACAGCATTTCAATGTTGAAAAAAGCATCATGTTTAATTTGCATTTGCTTTCATTATCAGTTTGTATCATAGCTACATGCCATGTAATCCACTCATCCTTCAACAAGGGAGACTTTCAAGATTTTGTGTCTGCAAAAGTATCAAAGAAAGCGTTATTTGGACTGACCTTGATATTCCAACAGTTTGGCAGCTTGACCTTTGGTTACAAAGAACCTGCTTCATTATAATAGGTGATGTCTGTAAAGCATATTTTACCATTTAGAGCTTACATAACAGGAAGTATATGAAGGTATGACTACATTTAAATCATTTGAAAGTCACCATGTCACTGAGAAATGTAATTGCTGTACTTGAGGCGGATCTATTTTTTCCCTTTGTGCTTGATTTAAGTGTTCCTGTGTTGTGTATTCATCTATATTTTTACTCTAAACTGTTACTGGTGTGCTGTTTGCCATGCAGGTCTCCTTTGTAAAAGAGATTTTTTTTTTTTATCTCAAGGGACTTTCTGGTAAGATAAAGGTTAAATAAGATGTGCAGGTGGCATGCTCCAAAGTAGAAAAAAAAAGGAGCAGAGTAAGACAAACTTTGTAGAGGTGACTGTGCAGAAATGGTGTTATTCAAAGTTTTACTGCGTTGGTATCATGTCAGGTTTAGTTTGACAAGCTGCACTCTGGGGTGCACTGCATTTATAAACAGCCCAAATTAAAACACTTTTATTTGTTTTTGAACAGATGTACTGATATGCTCTTCAAATAAAAGTGCAGACACTACTGTAAATAGCTCTTTGATAACAGCTTGACAGTTGTGTAGCTGCAGAGCTCTCTTTTTTTTGTTGTTCAAAACTTAGCGCATATCTAAAAAAAGTCACTTGTCTTTCTCACTTAACCATGAAAGACAATAAATGATGCTTCTTTCCAGGCATTATGTTTTTTAATGGTTTCTTTTTGGATTGGATCGTGTATGTCTATGAATATCAACAAAGAAAAGTAATGCCTGCAAAGGAGGTCTCGTGCCTAAAATAGACGACCGGAAAGCACAGCATCATGTTTTCTCTTTATGTTATCAGCAATACACATTATACTTTCATACCAATGGCATGCAACATATATGAATGCTGACTATAAATGTGGAGTAATAAACAATGTAAACACTGCTAGAATTCAAATAAAACTGATTTGATGACATATATTTACTGTTTCTTTACACCTTGAATTATTCACAGCCTAACCCACTGAGTGACACTGTGACTCCTCCCACTCAGGTAGACTCACAACTCCATCAGCGCTCTCCCATCCTCACTCCAAACTGCCTGACTTGGAGACATCAACTCTGCCTGACTGCTCTGAATTCGACTCTTCATCTAAAAGGTACGTTAACGATTCTGACACATATAAAGGATTCAAAGAGGTCTTTCTGCTAACATCATTCTATCCCTCTTTGTGTTTGGATCTTACTACTTACATTAAACTCCTTTGTGTGATAATGTTAAGGTATTTCTCTTCATATTATAGCTCTCTTGTGTATAAATAGGACCTTTTTATTTGTACCTCTTAGCTTCTTCACGCTGTGCAGGAACAAAAAAGTTGGCTTTTAAAGGTTCTTATAAGCTTCTCTGAATATTCACACACAGTGTCAGTAAGATGCCACAAATAAATGGACGGACAATATTCTGTCTCAGATAAAACTAGTTTGATAATCTGAAAATATAAAAGTACGCTTTACAGTATATTTCAAATTGTCAATTACATGTGAAAATCTCGAGAGCATGTAGGAACCTTGATTTAAAATCTCCTCTATCCAATGTTATGTGTGATGTAGATAATGCTTTAAAATTAAAATAATAATGCTATAACCTCTATGTTTTTTTTTTTATAAACATCAAATTATTTAAATGGAAAATGGAAACACATGATGTATAAAATCTCAGTTGTAAATTGCATGTGTGTAGTTGTTGGATTTAAAGTCTTGCATTGTGGAAAGATGCTTTTTTTTCAGGGTTGTTTTCATCTTTGCATTTCGATGAGCATGCTTGTCATCTTTAGCATTTTTTAAAAAGATTAGATTAGTTTGCTTCCTTGACTTGTGTCTAACGGCCACACAGATGTAATTCAGTAACTTTGCTGAGTTGTCTCTACAGTGTTTAAACCTTACAGCTCATTTAGTGTTGACTGTTTGCTTTTAAGGACTTAAGCCGGGATGCCTGAGTCTCCTCTCAGTCCCGCTGCAGCTCGTCAGACCCCGGCCAGCAGCCTCCTCAGTCACACAGACAACGGTGCAGGAGAAAAAGCAGCTAATGGGGACTCCTGCAGCGGCGTGAGTGCTGAACACTGGCAGAGTCTCCACCATAAACAGGTATTTTCATCTTCACCCTCCCTCTCATCCTCCTCTTATTTCCTCTTCTCTTCCCCTTCATAAGTGTGAAATAGAGGCGGTATGAGGTCGCAAACAGATGCCAAGGGAAATACAGCACAATGACTCCATATTGGACGTCCTCAGACAGGACTCCAAACCCGGAGCCTGTAGCTCTGTTGACAGTGATTTTATATGAGATCTGATGTGAGCTGGGAGTTGACACACAGAACTCTATTTGTCCTTCACTATTAGTTTGTCAGACAGAGCCAGGGAGGAAAAATGGTCCAGCAACCTCGGTCAAACACATGCAAGAGAACGGCAAATAGGCATGAGTCAATGTAATTTAATTCTTGTTTGTTACGTTTCCATCTCTGGGAGTCTTTATCTGGTGGATCAATGAAAAAAAACAAGATGATAAACTTCTGCTCAACAAGGTTTTTTTTCCACAAACATGTCCGTTTTTCTTTTTCTTTACCTCATAAATTCACTTTTAGTTCATAATAAAGGCTCGTCTATCGTCTGCAACTGTGAGTTGAACGTTATCTTTCTTTCAGGATTCATCAAAAAAACAAAATGAATGTGGACAGTGACAATGACATAAAGCCGCTGTCATCAGAGTGTGATGCTTTGAAATCTTTATTAAGGGCATGTTATATGGAAGTTTTTTTAACCAGCAAACTTTGAAAATGAAAAAAAAAAAAAGAAAGTAAGGCTATGTACTAGGAAATGAAGCCTTCTCTCCTGACAAAAGAAAAGGACACACGTCTGTAATGGATTTTTTTTTTTTTAATGCAGCATCTAATCCACACATCATGAACGATGAGCGAGTGATGTGAAAAGCATGAAAATGAAACCAACTGCATATCAGTGCCTTCTTTAAAGTAATATTCAGAGTGGAGCTGCATTCCTTCTCAAATGATGTGCACAGAGTTTCTACAATTATTCCCTAAAGTGTTTATTAGATATATAATAATAATTATTATAAGTTTATTGATGTAGCACCTTTAAAATAACAGGTTTGTACCTTGACAAACAGAAAAAAATATATTTTTAATGGTCATCACAGTTTATTGCATATCTCCAAAAAGTGTTTTGTCTATTAGTATGTATACAAAGTAGATCGGTCGATGTCTTAGGTGGGGTTGGGCCAATAAATATTTTAATATACATGTTAATTGTGACTTTAAAAAAACACAAAAGATTGACTGTCTATGGAACAAACTACAATACAAATCTGTTATGTGTTTTCTCATGGTTTAGATTATAAAGGTAGAGTTTATAAGATTATTTGAGTTTACTTCATTTTGGTTTTTTTATTTGGTCAAAATTACCTATAAAAACTTAATATCACAGCAATTGAAATGACATAGAAAATACAATATTTTAGATTTGACAAAAGGCATTAAATATCAGAAAGTATATTTGTCCATTTTCTTGCATCAGCCCACTCGTTTATCGTCTTCTTCTCGTATTATAATTTGTTCTGTTTGTAATACAACATGTTAACTGCCTTTTGTTGTATCTTAATGTAGTCATGGCAATCGTAGTTCCCTCTGTTTGTCCTCAGAACGAGACAATCACTCTGATATTTGTCACTCAGCCATTAACAGTGCAGATCGGTTATTATTCTGTGAGTGTTTGCCTTTATTAATATCCATACACTTCTATTAGGAGACACAACAAGCATGTAATTGTGTTGCTAATTAACTGGTCAGCCTATCGCCCATCTCATTTAGGACCAATGACACAATCCAGCTTGATGGTGTTCACAAGGGGGTTGACGGCACTGTTTTGTAATTGGATTTGAAAGATTTCTCATTTCTACAGTTGTTGCTGTTAAACACTTGAAACTTGCCTTCAGTCTCATTGGCTCGTCCTCCTTTCTTGGCTCTGTAGACTCTGGCCTTTTATCATTTTGTTTCCCTTCCTCCTCTTCTTCAAGGTGTTTCTGGCGATGATGGCTCCTCAGCAGCTCCTGTCACCCAACCAGCTGCAGGCTCTGATCCAACACAAACAACAAGCTCTCATGCTCCAACAGGTAATTATCACTAAAAATGATTATTTATAATGATAAACTGCACTCTGATTAATGGGACTATTACCTATGCCAAATAAAGTTAGCATGTTTCTTTCATAAAGTATTACACCAAAACCAATTTTACCAGTGAAATAAATAAAATACAATGTTAAATTTAACCATGAGTGTGTTTCTTTACCTGGGAGCATAAAGCTGTAACTCAAATTGGTTAAGTAACTTTGCAAAGAAGTGCAAGTTGCATGCAAACTATCCAAGTTGAAAGATCAGCTTGCTCAGCATTCATCTTTTAGTTCTTTGAATAAGTACAATATCAGACAAAGTTTAAACCTTTGGCATTAGCAATAGCTGTCATGCTAGTATTAGCATCTCTTCTCCTCGTGTGAGATAGTTTTTTGGCCCATGGTTCTTGCAGATAAGAATAATAACATAACATAAACTAAACATAAGCCGGACAACCAATAGTCTTCTTGGTGTGGCAAGTTAATGGACAAGCATGGGTTAACTAATAATCTACTTACAGAGACACAATTTTATAGAGCTACGCATTGAGATGTGCAACCCAGCGGCTTTGTTTATCTTAACCGAACACCGACTCGCTTAAAGGCAGGGTTGGTTATTTCCTCCTGATCCACTTTTTAAGATTTTAGATATTATAACATTCAACCCAATTTTAGCTTTTACTGCCTTTTTTCTCCACAATTTTGTTTTATACTGAATTCTTAACATTCTTGCCCATCAACTTTTAACTTCAGATTATAGCAAATATGTATCACAAACCTCAAAGGAACTAACATCGGTGTTATAGAACATTTTCCAGGGGATGCTAAAACCTTTTTGAATTTCCTTCTTTGAATTTTAAGAGCAAAGTTTTTAATGTAAATTGATCCTTTTTTCTAGCAACATCTGAAGGAGTTTTACAAGAAGCAACAACAACAGATTCACCTGCAGCTGCTTCAGCATCAGCCCGGCAAGAAGGTCAAAGAGGTCAGTTATTCTTCTCCCATCCATCAACACCTCCATCTATTGTCTTCTGCTTATCTGGGGTAGGGTTATGATGGCAAGCGGGTTAAAGGAGTCAACCCAGACTTTCCTCTCCCTAGCAATGTTTTCCATTTCCTTCCTGGGGATTCCAAGGCGTTATTCCTCGTCTTCTTTGTGTGAAGATTTCTTCTGAATTTGTTTGACTGTTTTTGCACTCAAATTGGTATTATCTAATTTATTTGGGGGAAAAAACACTGAATAGTCACATCGATCAAATGTCATAAAAAAATCTAGTCAGAGAGAACAAACCAAGACGACTAACAAAGGAAAGTGAGCGCACATCAATATCTCACTTTTCTATAAAATGTCTTGACTTCTCTCTCCATCCTGCAGCTTCCTGCACAGCAGCTCGTGTTCCAGCAGCTCCTCAGGCTCCAGCAGCAGCAGCAGCTCCTGCGGGTGCAGAGACCAGTCCTGTCTTCCCCTGCCCTCTCTACAGGTCACTCCATTTTACACTTTTTTTTCCTGTGTTTCTCCCACATCTTCTGTGCAGTCATTTTTGAAAGTTACTACAATTCAGAGCATGTTTGCAAAAGAAAGATTCAACTAACAGTAGGGTCCTTTTGATATGTTTTTGTAAAGGGACATAAATACAGACTGGACCTACTGTAAGGTCTTTAGATTCATTTATAGAAATGAACTTAACACAAAAGAAGCGATGATAAAAGTGAAATCTGAAAGTAAAAAAGTCCATCTGTCTCTGACAGTAGCTGTGATAAGTATTCCTGATTTACAGAGAGTACAGCAACGTTAGGACATGACTTGAGAAAGAAAAAAGTAAAAAGTGCACAAACATAAAAAGCAAAAGTTAACTTCAACAACTAAAACAGCTCGCTATGAAGATAATCATAATTCTAGAAAAATGTGACTCAGCCCCTTGCATTGGAACGCCGTCTGTGATGTAGTTAAAAGGCCTCTATTCATTTTCTGTTTGCTTGATTGACATATAAAACAAAGCACTCCAACTGTACAATGTGCTGTGTGTGTTTTTGATGTTACAGTCAGTTTCAGTCCTGCGGAGATGATGCAGATATGGAAAGAGCTCACAAACGAAATAACTGAAGAAAACACTCCAACAAAGGTCAATCAGGACTCTTCTGCTAACAACATCATGTCGCCCAAAGTCCCAGTGAAAGTGAAGGCACACCAGCAGCAGACTTCTCCTCCTGGCGGGGCAGAGTGGTACGATACGTCTGTTTGTGCTCTTAATGTGAACGCTGAGATGATACTGGCTTTTTGTCAACATCAAAGACTTTTCATCTTTAGACGTTTGAGTGCAGGGCGGTGTTTGCTTTTGCAGCGAGACTTCACTTTTAATTCCCCTCGGGACGATATATTTTGTTTTGTTTGTTTGCTTTGTGTGATGCCAGCTGAAGAAAAAGTTTACAGACTCACATGTCCCGAATCAAAAGTAAATACTTCTCTATTTATTGTTTTTACAGTGCTCCCTTCCACCTCGCTCTGTCATTTTCTGCCACCTATGAAAAACACACACTTGTATCTGTTTTATTCCTGTTGTCTTGATGCGCTGTGCTTTAAATCGTGCGCTACCTTTCATATTTTTCTCTTCATCCTTTTCTAGTGCTGTTAAAGCGGACCACAGCGCCACACACGCTCTCTACACTCATGGTGTGTGCAGTTGGCCCGGATGTGAGTGGGTTTGTGAAAACCTCAGCCAGTTCATCAGGTCAGTTTTACTCCATAATGTCTTGTCCTCTCTGTCCCTTAAAATGACAGCTCTGAACTAAACTAACCATTTGGGGGGGGGGGGGGGGGGAGAGTAAGGAATTGAAAGTCAGAGTCTACTTTATATTAAATGTAACTGATGATAAACCATTATAAATTCATTAAGCAGAGACACACCGTGTATGCCACGCCCATCTACTGCCCTCTGTCAGCAGTTGTGAAAACTATGGTGAAGAAAGTAGATCATCATTCTATCCCTTTTAGACCAAATTGTATCCTAAAAACTTCCTTTCAACACTGCAGGAGATTTATATTTTAGTAAATGTGAAGCTTTTCTCTGTAACTTCTCTGTTTGGCATGAGAGGCATGCACTTGGGCTAACATCTCAGTCAGTCTGGATTGATAATAAGAACAATTTTATTCGAAAAAACAAATAAACAAACAAACAAACAAGTCAATAAAACATCCTTAGAACTTTCCAAATTGCTCATTCATTTATTCATCTTCAGTCTGCCAACAATCACTGACACTTATTTCTGCTGGAGTGGTTTAAATGAAGTTTCCATTATATTCTTTACCTTCATAGGACTCAAATATTCACCCAGTGAATTCAAGCAGATGGAGGAAAAGTCCAACAGAATTATCGAAATGAAAGTCACTTTTTGAGTTTGCTGTTATTCTGTCTTTACTGACCTTGTGTGTGTGTGTGCGTGTGTGTGTGTGTGTGTGTGCGTGTGCGTGCGTGCGTGTGTGTGTGTGTGTGTTTTTAGGCATTTGGGCAGTGAGCACGCTCTGGATGACAGGAGTACAGCACAGTGCAGAGTCCAGATGCAGGTGGTTCAGCAACTTGAGCTCCAGGTATGAGTGCTCTGAAGATGTTGAAATAGTTAGAACTGCTGCTGTGAAGTTCGCTTTGCACAGGTTTTAAATGTACGATATATTGTTTGCCAAACTGGATTAATTTGGACGAGTTTCTCGCAGAGATTTCCACATGAAGTCCTTCTTCTGTATGGTTAATATTCATGCAGCCTTTTTTTTTTCCGGATATCTGCCAGAAGGAAATTGTTCTTAGCTTTATTTGTTTGGTTCACAGTGCTCCATTTGAGATCTGTGTGTTCACTGTTTGGGTGATGAAACACCTTTGACTCTGATGACTTCTCCTTCTATTCATCTCCTCCAACAAGCTCGGCAAAGAACGGGACCGCCTGGGCGCGATGATGGCTCACCTTCACCTGCCGTCTTTAGGAACTCAGTCCATCTCTGCACCCGCAAGACTGCAGTCACCTCAATCTGATACGGCCGCTGACCCGTGTGATCTGCAGGTGTGATAGTGTTCAGTGATAAGCTGTGTGGGGAACAACGTCAGAGTGAATGATCCGTAAGCTGAACTTCATGTTTTGCAGATGTGAGGAGAGCTCAAATTACGAGGTGGTGGAAAGTGAAAATGCAATCTTATCTTCTTTAGAACTGATGGAGACACTGCCAGTCTGTGATCCCCCCCCCCCCTCCCCCTTGGAGAAATATTAAAAGTGCAAAAATATGTCGCGCTTTTGTTCTCAAGAAATAATAAAACATGGTATATTATAATGGTAGAGATAAAGGTGAGGTAATCGTAGACTCTGCACTGAGACGTTGGGTCAAATCTGATCGCAAATGCATTTCTTTAAAGAGACTTTTTCTTTGTGGTGATCTTCATCCTTTCTTTGTGTGACTCGCTGCATGATGTGAGTCTTGAGCGCTTCCATTTTCCTTTTGGCATCCAGCTGTTGGCACCAGATGTCCCTTTTGCCTTTTTGCGTTTTCAGACAGCAGACATGCTCTGATAACGTGGAAACTAATCATTTGATAATCTCGCAAATATTTCACCATAATCACAACACTCGCCAAACAATTTCACCCTATAATTAACAATAATTGACCTCCTTCTTCTGGGGATATTAGTGGGATCACCTCTGAATAGGCGAGTCAAATCGCTCTGTTACACTCCCCCTCTCTGTTTTGTCTCTCTGTCTGGTCTTTGTCATTCCACTTGTTTCTTTTGTTAACTTAAAATCGTCTCGCTTGTCTCGCTCTCAGCTCGGTTCGGTCTCTGCCACCGACGACCCGTCCTCGCTGAGCCCGTCAGACTCAGCTCAGGTTTCTCCCCGACCTCATGGCCCAGTCAGCACGCCCTCCCTCGAGTGTGAGGAAGACTTTCCCACTCAGACTTCATGTGCGGGGGCCATAAGACGTCGTCATCACCCTCTGCTCTATTTAATGTCTCCAGGTAAACTAGTGTCTGATAGGATTTGTTAATTCACATTTTTCTCCTCCAGTTTAGACTTCCTGTGTTTTGTCTTGTTTCAGAAAATGAATATGAGCTGTACAAGAACACGGACATCAGACCACCATTCACATATGCAACCCTGATAAGACAGGTACAGTGAGTTAGAAGAGCTTCTGTATCTGCCTCATTTCAAACATTGTCAAAGTAACTTACATAAGAAACTTAAAATACAGATTTTAGCCACAGTGCATTACTGTTTTGTAATTTTGTACTCATCTTTTTTACTTTTTCTCCTTGTACAAAGGCCATGTTATCAGTTAACATGTCTTCAGTATATTCGATTGATTGATAAGATGTTTGCCTCATAAAAGGTCAGAACATTTTGAATAAAGTTGATCACTACTGTGTTTCCCTCATCCAGAGAAGACATCCTCAAATGTCTCTTTGTGTCTCCACCCCCAAAGATATTCAGTTTAATGTCTTAAAGGAAACGATCACAAGAACATTAAAATGTTTTAGTGTCTGAAATCAGAAAATGTGATAATTTTTACCTTAAAAATGACTTCAACCAAATAATCTGTTCCAAAAATAGTAAATTAAATTCATAAAATAATAATAATAAAAAAAGAATAAATAGATGTATGACTGTATCTCTGTTTTGAGGACTTTTTTCTGATTTTATCTTACTTTATTTTTCTGTTCATGTTAACGGTCATGTGCTCATGATCTGTTTGAATCACATTTCCACTCTTTAGAAGAAACACTGAAATGAGTTGGTAACTGATTTGATCAAAGTAAATCATTTTCATCCTTTTTTTTTCACTTTAAAAATAAATGTTTCATAAATGTACGTTGTCTTTAATATTTGTCAGTTTTTTAGTCTCAATATATTCGGGCAAATAATCTGACAAATCTGGAATTATTTCATAGTTTAAATTCTCTGTCTGTTATTTCTAACATCAAATTTATCAAATTTAAAATGTATTATGTATCATAATTAAAAAATATATATATTTCTATGACGATTTCTTGAAGAAAAAGACTTTCTCATCCTGCCTTCGATCAGGAGTGAAACAGTCGGGGCTTTAAATTGATCCTTTTATGTTCTTCACTTTTTATTCCCTCTCCATCTCCAGGCGATCATGGAGACATCAGACATGCAGCTAACACTCAACGAGATATACAACTGGTTCACACGGACGTTTGCTTACTTCCGACGAAACGCTGCCACATGGAAGGTAACGCACTCGAAAGATAATTACCTCTCTGATCCCGGAGTGTGTGTCATGCCTGATTTATGCAGCATGTATCGGGTAACGATCCCCTTCACTCTGATGTTTCTCTGCATCAGAACGCTGTGAGACACAACCTGAGCCTGCACAAGTGTTTTGTGCGCGTGGAGAACGTGAAAGGCGCCGTGTGGACGGTGGACGAGGTGGAGTACCAGAGGAGGAGGTCTCAGAAGATCACAGGGTACTGTGGTTTGTTTTCCTCTGAGCTCACATCAGGGTATCTGCAAAGTTTTCACTTTAAAACACGGATGTTTAAGATCATTTTCTAAAACATGGAAAACAACAAATTTCACAGACAAGCAGAAGACTGAAGTAAAGATTCTCAAAGGTTTCAACATCGGCCTCTTCTGGGTTTGAACAGGGATCAAAAAGCAATGAGAATAAATCTGAGTGTTTTGAAATATTTAACAAATTATAAAGAATAAAAAAACAAAACTCAATTTCACAATCAGAAATTGAGTTTGCTAACACACACACACACACACACACACACACACACAGGATTTGACTTTGGTGAGCTGTGCTCTCGATGAACATAAATTAAAACATTAAATATATCTGATGTCTCAATTTCCTGTCAAATTGAACCCCCTTTTTCTTTTTCTCTTTTCTTTTAATTAAAAAAAAAAAAAATATATATATATATATATATATATATATATATATATATATATATGTATAAATCAAGCTACAGAAGCAGAAAAATATCCTTTTGAAGTATCTGGAAAGTGTTTGACACCCATGATGTCACCAGGAAGAAAAAAAAAACACAAAATATGCAAAATGTAGGAACACATAAAAACCTCCTGATGGCATCTGCAGGGAAGCGATTGCAATCTTAAATCTCTTCAGGCTGTTTCATGACTACTCATGAACTACTCATGAAGCTGAATCATTTGTCATCATGACTGACCTCGCCTCAAACTATTGTTGTTAAAAGGTATTGGTTTGTTTGCTTTGAATTAGACAGACGGTGATGTTGTGTGTTACCTGTGTCATCCTGCAGGAGTCCATCTCTGATGAAACACGTGTCCTCCAGCCTGGATTATGGGACTGTTCTGAATGTCGGCTTGAAGGTGAGAAGATGTCTTATTAAGAATCCGTGTCTAAAAGCATCTGCAGCTATAGCTCCCTGACTTCAATCTTTTTCTAGTTCATTGATGGATTTCTGATTGATCCTCTTTGTAGACGGCGCTGTCTGAGGCGTCTCTGCCAGGTTTCAGGGAGTGTGTCGGCAGAAACTCCAAAAGGCCGATCCCGGAGAACAAAGTAATGAACAGGCACCGTATCAAGCAGTACGTTTTGCTCCATTTGAACTCCAATAACCATTAAAACAACTGAATAAATGCTGCAATCAAAGAGCCAAATTGTCTTTTTTGTTTTCACCTTGCAGGTCGCTTTTCCTTAAAGATGAGAGGCTGAATCTGATTGACCAAGAATCGGTTAAACCAGGAAGTCTGCAGGATGAGGTCGAACATGAAGACGATTTGTTCGACCTTGAATGACTAAAGAAACGCTTCTCGTCTGAAACAATCAGCTGCAAAGACGAGAGACGCCCTTTGTTCACAATCAGGGAAGTAGCCCAACATTAAGCATTAGAACTTCAGTGTAAAGAATCGGACAAAATCAACCAAAATACAAAGTAACTTCCTGCAGGGCGTATTTATTTCTGCTCATGGAAACTGATTGGTGTTTGTTATCTTTGCAGTACTCCACCTTAGCTTCAGATCATTCAGAAACTGAAGTGAAAAATGATTTTGATCTGCTAAATCTTTAACATTTGTGCAGATGCCACACTTTAAATAATTATGAAGGAGAAAGGACATTAAAGAATTCAAGAAAGGAATCAAACTAAAGCAAAAACAACAAAACTTGTTTTCTTTTAATCAAGGGGGAAATAATACTTTGTCGACCCATAAAAAAACCCATCTTTTTGTGGAAATAATAAATCATCATGTCCAAAGTGAGTGATTCACAGAATATTTGCTACATGAGGAGAGTAAAAAGTTTATGTTTCGTGTGTTCATTGTCAGAGCTAAAAGAAAAAAAAAACACAATCTGAATGTGAATGCTGCGTCACTGCGAAGAGAGAGACCTTTTTTATGTTATTTAAAAAAATAAAAACCTGTACAGCTTGTGCTGTGGCTCCTGTTTGTTATCCGCATAGATGAAAACCTCTTGTAAGATGCATCGTGTCCCCTGTGTCTCTTCCTGTGTCTCTTCCTGTTTCTCTGTGTGTAACACAACTCTTTAATTCAGCGCTTTGTTCCTGAAACAATCAGCCGTGTTCCAAACATTACACTTTGATAATATTTGGAGTATTTACAATAGAAACTATGACCAAACAACAACTCTGTCTTTATGCTGCTTATTGTGTCTGATGTTACAAAATGACATGTTCTGTGTTGTTCGTCAATGAATGCTGATGAGTTTATCATTGATATACCTGTGAGTGACGGCTTTGAGGTAAATGTATTTAAAACTCTTTATTTAAATGACATGCACTGTTGAACCACCCGTATACAGATTCAAGTTTCACCACATGATGCCATGTCACAGTTTATGTCGATTGTTTGGACATTTTACACAAAAATAAAAATAAAAATCACATTATCTGGCTTTACTCTCATGTTGTCATGTTCATACGTCTGTGAGTAACTAAATAAAAAACAAAGGAAGGAATTACATTTTCAAATGTGACGTAACTAAAAGTCAATTACAAACTAATCAAGCTGCATTCGATAAGACATACAAATCAATTCAAATAAATACAGAATGCATTTACAGCATCGCTTCAACATTCAACTATTTATTAAGTAGTGTGTGCGTGAGTATGAGTGAAGTCATGAGTCTTACATTTACGGCGACAGGAACACGTACGCTGGTTTGCACGAGTCAAAGCCGACTGCTAACGCTGATGATTTAAACCTTTTGACTTTCCCTAACGCCCGTACTGAATTGGGAAAAGGGGCGTTCAAGTATGCTGCTCCCTTCTTCTTGGAATCAGTTGCAGGATACTCTAAATCTTCGGGATCTGTTTTCCTTGGATTATTTTAAAAGGTCTTCTTCATGATCTGGAGGCGGGCATATCCGACTGTAGATTTTTTTTTAAACTGACTCATATTGCTCCTTTTTGATCACCTTGTTTTATGATTTATCTATTTTGTGATTCCTTTTATTAATGTTTATTATTGTTCAGTGTTTTATGTCTGAAACTCGGTGAATTGTGGCGCTGCCTGTCTTGGAATCAGGACGCTCTTGTAAAAGAGATTCTTAAGCTCAATGAGACTTTTCCTGGTTAAATAAAGGCTGAATTAAATTACAATTCTAAAACCGTACCCTGAAGGAGATAAACTGTGTTTATAATGGATGAATGGATTATAAACCGTGTTTGTGTCTTGATGATGAATAAAAGCAGGTCTCTCCTGTAAAAGTGTTTAAATCAAAATTCATGGATAAATAGTCCAGAGTGCATCATTTGGTCTCTTTTCTCTCAGTGAAGTGACGCTGTTCCTGCACACTTCACAATCAGAAACAGAACAAAAGCCTCGCAGCTCCTTGTTTTGACTAATGTCAGTAATTGTCGGGGCTGATAACGACTTTGCTTGAAGTTTGCTGTTACCGCTCAGGGCTTTCCTTTGATTCGCCGTCAGCCCATTAGATGACATTTTCTTCTGATTGCCTCTCCGCGCCGCGTTCACTGACTGAAAGTTAGCATGGTTCTCGACAACTTCAACAGCGTCACTTATGTGTTGCTTTGATGTGCCATATAGTCGCTGGGAGGCGGGTAAGTCGACATGCTTTTTCAACGCAGCACTTTTGACAGCACTTAGTCAACAGCCGCTCAGAAAGGGCTGCTCTCTGCTCATCTTCTTCATCAACGTGTAATGATGACGCCGTCACCGAGATGTCCAATCTGTTCATAACACCTGCATCTGGGAGAACAACAATATTTGAATACTCGGAGATAGACATTTCACACTTTGTGACCTATTATTAACGGCTATATTGAGTTTTGGGGCTTGATTTATGTACGTAACAAGAAGCAGAAGGGTTAAAATACATTTTATGTTTAACGAAAATACGATTTTGTTTTAGGAAAGTAAGTGGACCTTGATTTTTTATATCATGCCAAATAATTTTTTTTTTTTTTAAACAACGATACTGAATTTGAGTACCAGGAGTTGTTCAGTCTGTACGGACTTAGGAACCGGTGAGACACCACCTCAAATCCCAAAACGATGGACAAAGTTTGGAGATAGGGACTAGTTCAGCTGCCAGTTCACCTTCAGAGCACGCCTGAGGTTTCTTTTGAGCAAGGCACCACCAAACCCCCAACTGCTGGGGCGCTCTTCTGTGTGCAGCTCTTCACTCTGAAATCTCTCCATGAGTCCATAGAGGATCCAGTTTGGGCATGTATGTGTATCGTTTTTTTTTTTCCTTTATTTGATAGGACACTGGGAAAAGAGAGCGGGAAATGACATGAAGTAAAGAAGCCACAGACTGGACTTGAACCCTGGCCGCCCGCTTGGAGGACTATACACTCTTACATGGGGCGTGGCCTAACTGCTAGGCCATCTGCGCCCTGTATCTATGTTGCTAGTCTGAGTGTATGCAGCATGTCCAATAACAGAGGGAAAAACAGAATAAAGTACATCTTCTTTTAGGTACATATAATGGTTGGTTGGGTTTTGTTGGTTGTTGCTGTTTTGCTCAGTTTGACCTGTATGACCAACATGACCTTTTATGTTTCATAAACCTCCTTCCTATATCCTATATCTTTTCTTCTTCTTGTCCTTTGTATTGCAATTTAAATACCATTGCTGCTGTGACACACCCATCCATCCATCCATTCAGATTACATAAATATGGAGAGAATTTTTTTTCACGTGTTTGCATTTTGTAGGAGTCTGTGTGTTTGTGTGTGTGTGTGTGTGTGTGTGTGTGTGTGTGTGTGTGTGTGTGTGTGTGTGTGTGTGTGTGTGTGTGTGTGTGTGTGTGTGTGTGTGTGTGTGTGTGTGTGTGTGTGTGTGTGCGTGTTAGTCAATAAGAAGGAAGGGGAGCTTGCATACATGCAGTGTTCAGCTAACACACTTGTGGGGCATGTGTCTTCGTTGTGTTAGGTGACTAAAAGCAGAACAGAGAAATCTTAAAGTCACTCACCCAGGCCTCGACGTCCCTGCTCTTCTGTGATCAGCATGTTTAGAGCGAATACTCAGGGATCTGCTGCTAGGAAGGGGAGTGTTATTAAGCCTCTGAACAACAATAAATACACCCACACACACACACCCAAATCCTCACACACACACACACACAGTACAGCTCACGGTCTCCTGAGCGGTGACTCAGGCCGACATGCTGGGTGTTGTTGGAGGTTTCCTGACCTCTGTGTGCGAAGAGGAGCAGGAGGATGGACAACATGAACCGATGAGAAAGTGAAATTTAGATTGTGAGCAGTCATGAGTATCAGACATGTTACCGGGAGACCATTTACCTGCGGACGGAACGGAGGGGCTCAACAGCCCGACTAAAGGCAAGTACCAATGATCTGACCGGCAATAAGAGTCTTATTTTTTCCTCATATTTTGAAACATTTTTCCTCAACTTTTTTTCAGTTGCTGCTTATTATTATCTATATGATTTACAGTTTGTATCCCGTTAGAATCAAAAGGTTTCAAGAAATATTCCACTTGTCAGGGTTGTAAACCCTAAAAAACAATAACATTATGTGTCAAAGACGTGAGAGCCCTTGAACAGCTTTTTTAAATTAGGGGTTCAAACTCTTTGAGATAGTGTAACATACTAAATGTTATCTATTTAGTTTGGTTAATTTATATTGTTGTGACATAAATACATTTTAAAATATCAAGAATAAGGTATTAATAATGTTAAGAGTAAAAATAAGGTATCATTCCTCATAAGAATTTATTTATATATGTTGTCAGTGAGGAATCAGTCATAATATATTTCTTGCTTAATCAGTCTTTTGATTTTTTTCTTTATTTATTTTTTGTCTCAAGGCAGTGCGTCTTTGAAATCCAAAGAGGAAATCCTTCCAGCACGTGACCCTGTTAGCAGAGGAAATACCATCCCTGCTGACCTCATCAGCAGTAAGTGGAAACCCTGAGACCCCAACAGAGAACAATACAACAACAAAAAGTCAATGCTGTGACTAGACGAGGATTGTTAAATGAATCAGAGTTAGAGAGAAGGCACAGTGTGTACGCAGAAGTATGACAGTGACACAGCACCGACATTAATCCAAATATATGTTTTAAAATCAATTGTGACTTATTGTAATAAGTCGCGATAACAAGAAACCATCTGCAAACCTCAGAAAAAGGGTTTAAACATACAAGGCACTCAAAGGAGATATTCATGTCCGATCTGCTTTAGTGCGTAAAGAAAATCACGATTCAACAAATCATGTAAAAAAAAAAGGCCATGGGGCGTTTTCTGATTCACCTTCTTGTGCTTGATCATTTTAATGCTCAAATTTTACCAGAACATGAATAGAAAATAAAATCCTTTCCCTCCAATGTGCTTTGTGCTGTGTCCCTGTCATGTGTATACGTAATCTCAGTCTTTCCTCTTTTTTTTTTATGTCTCTCCATGATCTCAATTAATGTATTTTCATATTGTTTTACCAGCTTTATGTGTTCTGGATTGTGCAGAGTTCTGGTGTGCCTTTTATGGGTTTTATGTATTTAATGGGTTTTATGTGTAAGCTATTTGAATTCACTGGTAAACTTTTTTTTACCCACCACCAACTCCTTCATAAAAATCGTGACCCAAATTTCTGATATTCTTTCAACCAATCAGATTAATTGAACGAAAAACAGACCAGTTTGGACCTCAGATGGTCTGAAGCATGTGAGGGAACAAAACTCAGCAGGTTTTAAGAGCGCTTCATCAACTTTTTTTTTTCCAGTCACATGTTCGCGACCCACTGAAAACAGCTCCGAGACCCACTTTTGGGTCCCGACCCACCAGTTGAGAACCACTTGTCTAAATACAGTGAATAAGATGGATACTAAATCACAGATTGAGTCCAGCTTGACTTTTCTTCACGCCATGTCACGTGTGCTCATTTACAAATTCAACCACTCAGGAATGCCCGTTGTGTTTCTGTTCTTTTCTGACCATGTAGTCTTCACTGGATTTGTCTGTTTTTTCACCCCGCTCAGCCCAGCCTCTGTCATCTGCAGCCCCATCAGCAGAGGCCTCACAGGAGGCAGCAGAGTGTAAGAAGCCCACCTGCCCACAATGTGGTCTCACAGTTCCAGACCACAGACCTCCCCCTGTCTTACCCGCAGTGAGTCGTCTGCAGGGATCCAGCCTGTCGGTGCACAGCAGCAGCAGCAGCAGCAGGACGAGCAAGAGGAGCAAGAGGAGCAGGAGCAGTGTGGCTGGATCACATCAACGTACTGCTACACCTGCTGCTGGTGAGCACAACCATCAGACTCATTCAACACAGTGTTCCAACAAGACCAAAGTTCATGACGGTTTTCAAACAGGTTGATTTTGAAACGTTTGTCTCGGTTTATAACAGTAAAAACACAGGTGCTGGACGAAGCATTGGACATGTTGATGTGATTGACAGTAATTACATGTCATTCGTGATGGTTTCCTTACTTCACATTACCCATTTCTAGATCTTACTGGACAACTGTGCGTCGCAAATTATCATGGGTTGAAACATTTTCCCAATTTTCCAAACTGTTCCCGTATAATACCAAACCACACAGCTTAAAAATACATCAAATAAGGCTTAATTATCAAGATTTTGTGGGGCTAGTCCGACTGTTGCTTTCAAGTTTTCTACCTCTTTACCTCTTAGGTGCAATTTTTTTTTTTTTTTTTTTTTTACCAAAAACAGAAAAGAAAATGAGATAAAGAGAAAAGAGAAATAACAGTTTGTTAATTATTCGTCAGGTTAAGATTCTCCCTTACAGTAGCGGCACTTTGCTCACACAGGGTTCCCTATGCAAACATTAACATTAATCCAGCAGCAGTTTTTATTTTACATTTTATTTTCATTGTCTTACAAATGTCGACCGACAAATAACAAATGTTTTTTTCTGTTTCTTGGGCAAAGCTGAAGTTTCAATCGGACTGCTTGCTACACAAGTTAGCCAGTCAGCACCTGGTGCAGTTCAGGGAAACACTGAATTTCAGTATTGGTACTTTACTAAGTACTTAACAATATTCTATCATTAGCAACCAATTATTTTTTAAACCAAAAATAGCTTATAAGGTTCATTGGCTGCTTGACAACACATCAACATAAAATACAGAATGTGCATCGTTCCCCCACGTTTGTTCAACAGGGATCATCCAGTAATGTCTCTAATTCAGTGAATTAAAAATGAACCAACCGGCTTCGGTTCCACATATTCTGAGTTCAAATTTATAGATGTAAGACTTTTTTTTAGCTGAAAACTGAGACATTGTATTCAATTCAGTAACATTTTCATCAAGCCCTGTTGAACAATAAGTTACAATGAGCTAGATTCATCATAAAGACTAGGGAAAGCTTACATTCAAAGGACTTTACTGTTACAAACAAAGGCAATCTATCTTTTTTTCTTTTAGAGAGCTGGAGCGTTAAAAAGTTTCCCTTGAAGACTTCCAAACTGCACTTTCATCCAGTTTTATCAAAGCGTGCAGCGGGCCACTCCTTGTTTATCATTGTGTTCATGTTGCTATCTCTATGAAGTTGTGCTTTAAATCAATACAGCGGCCACACATAAGGCTCCTTTTTCATCTGAACACATATAGAGACATTAGCATAAGTTATGTGCGGGGGGTGTATAATTGGAGACGCTAAGCAGGAAAACGCTGAACCCCACTCCCCAGGGAATTCTGCCACCTCCTTTTCATTTACTTCCTGGAGTAAACAGGATAAAACAGCTCTATTTGCATGAGCTCACTCTCTCTCTGCTCCCCGTGAGGAAGAATAACGGGAGCCGAGTAATAATGCAGCGGTCGGGTTCGCGAAAGATGCACCGCAACACACCAGTGAGGTTAATATATGCAATTTCAACTGCACCTAATTTGGTTAAGGGAGCAATTATCTTGTGACAGCTCCTTCCTCGTTGTTGTTCATCACCGGCAGCCTCGGTGGCCTTTTTGATTTTCCCCCGAGGACTGAACGAAGCTCTGTGATTAAGTAAACACAATCACACTTGATCACTGCAGCAGACTTGTGTCTCTTTTAAGTTCTAGTTGGCACCACAAACAAACATGCAAGAGATTAATTTAGGGTTAATATTATCATTAGTCCCCGCTGTTGAAGGTGTCTGACAGGCTTTTAGAACAAACTGCAGCCTCTCTGTGAACTCAGATATGATATTTCTTGGAAAGATAACTTCTATTCCCCCCCCCCCACCCCTTCACAGACTCCTGTTTACACTTGCTTTTGGCGTGCCTGTACTGTCAATGCTCCGTGCTGCTCCTGGGTCTGTTGGAGGCCTGCTCCACCTGTCTTCACAGCCTCTGCTCCTCCTGCTGCCACGCCTGCGCCCGCTGCTGTTCGGCCATCCAGGAGGCGCCCGTGGAAGAGCTCAACTGCAACGCACACTGCCACTCGGTGTTGTTCGACTCCTGCTGTGAGCCGACCGAGTGTCTGGAGTTTTGTCTTGAATGCTGCGAGATCTGCCATCGCAGCTGAGGACTCACATGAGACATGAGACTGAAACAACAGATGTACAAGCAATATGGGATTTATTAACACTTCAGTGACAATTCTTATGACTGAACTTTATCTTTTCTTGACTCTAAAAGTTGTGAAGAGCAAAATCCACTGCAAATCACAACAATTCTTTGTGATAATTCATGTTTTTATAACTTATTTGTGCAAGTCCTGCTACAACAATTTGTTTTTCATTGACCTCAACTAAAGCAATCGCTGAGGATTTGAGTTAGTGCTTCAAAATGTTTTTCAGTTAAGGAGATTTTTTTGGGCCTTTTTGAGCTAAAGCCATTTAAAATGAATAAATAATATCAAACATTGTAGACTTGAAGTTTGCTGTCAATATGCAGGAAATTAAGCCAGTAGATGATGATGATGATGCTGATTAGCTGAGCTAAAAAAAAAAAAAACTAGAACAAAACAATATCCAACATCTCTGAAGCTCAAAACTACACGTATGGTCTTTTTAACCAAACACATAAACTAATGTTAAAAACACACTGGCTGCAGGTTTGAGCTTTTCTCCAGCTCTTTTGTGATATCTAGTGACTGTATTCAACATCAACGCCGAGTCTCGTTCAGAAGAAGCGCTTCAAGCCCAATGATGGCCGTCGCCATATTGGAAATGCAGCCTCCAACTCCCTTTCAATCAATACAGGGACAGGCAAGAGGCGGAGCCTAAAAGCTTTTGACAAGTTAACTCCGCACCTGTCAGTCAACTTAGTCTGTCCCAAATTTGTACATTTCTGCATAACTTTGCCTTCATATAATCAATACAGATGAGTTGCAAAAATAAATTCACTCCCATTCAGCTTTTGTAAAAATGGTGCATTTAAACATGAGACCTAAAGGGGATTCTTTGGCTTTTGGAGCCAGACTTAAGTGGACACTCTATGATGAACTGCAACTGTTTGCATTTTAGCATTGTCTTCAGTTAACACCAGAGGTTGCCACTTGGTGCTTTCTCTCCATGAGTTATGTGCTATTAAATTCCGGGGCCACACAATAATGCATTCAAACAGTGAATTCAACGTTTATTCAACAGAAATGCCTTTTGTTTGTACATTAAGTTGCATTTAATGACTTTGACCTAACAAGACCCTGAACGAGAGGGCTCTACTTCTCTGCTCAGCCTTGTACAGTTTCTCATGTTGTAAGATTGCAGGTTTGACTTCAGCTCTTTGCAGCTGAGGAACAGGGCGACAGATAACGTGTCAGCTCTCTCTTGAATCCCTTTTCATATTTGTCATATAAAGCACTTAGAACATAAAAGGATGCTTATTGTCTCCGCATCTTGGAAGATCGAGGCAGGCTCCTTTAAAGTCGTCGTGCGAGATGACAGCAGAGAGGCAGAGTAAACAGCCAAAAATAAAACAAAGCAGCGGTAAAGACAACGCTGTCAATCTGTCCGGTGCGAGCCAAGAGGCTCATTTAAATCACGCTAGAGCGAGTAAATCGAATTTAAGCATCTCCTTTGCCCACAACACATTTGGATTCTACTTGTGACAAGAAACAGCGCTGATGTCTAATTTAGAGCATGGCGAGCATACAGCAACAAATAAACACTCAGGTTTGTTCCACTTGTCCCCCTCAATTTGTTCTAGCCTTTACCCACAGCTGATGTCTCCCTCCACAACAAACAGCTGCTTCTGTCAGGGGGAATTCACAAGTGACACATGTGGCAGCCACACAATAATAAACTCTTTTTAGATGGCAGTATATATTTAACTTTGATATGAATCCGTTAATAAAATAAATAATTTGAATGACAGTGATGACACCTAGGTGACAGTTTCATTGACTTTCATCTTATGGTGGTTGAAACAAAATCTGTAGTCCTGTTTAGACTGCGTTGCCGCAACAGTGCAGTGACTTAACTCAGCCGTCATTACGTCTTTATACCTTCATATTGATTCCTCAACATTGTTAGATTGGTGTCCAAGTCTATGAATTCACTTTGCCTTACGACGTTGCTGAAGCGCACTGGAACTGTCATGACATGCACACACACACAGCGCTGCGCTCCCCGGTTGGCTCTGCTGATCCTGTCTCACCCTTGTAACAACTCTGTTATTACCTAATAAGACAGCACAGAGGGGGGATCACTTCATCGCCCCAATATTATGCCTCCTCGACATTCATATTGAAGCTGAAACATCTCAGGGATGTAACTATCGCGCCTTGAAACTGCAGTCTTTAAAGGGCTTAAAAAATAATCCTTCATATGTAGATATTGGAGAAATGTTCATTTTTTATTTCTGTAACAAATCAATGAGCCAATTGGCCACATTTTCAAATAATGAATTAATTATATATATATATTTTTAAAATCTCACAAAAATGCCAGGCATGTTTACTTCCGTTTCCTGTCAAATGAGGAATTTAATGCTTTTAATTCCATGTGATCAGAAATTGAATATTCAAAAATTTACATGGTGCTTTTTAGTGTATTTTAATAACTAGTCACTGCTTGAGTCCTGAAAACTATTTGAAGAATTCAAAAAGTTGATAAAAGCATTAGTTTTAACTCTTTAACAATTTTTTATGCTGAAAGTACATTTTTATTGCCAACTGTGGACATTGGTGTCATGTCCTTTTGAAATGATTTGCTTTGTTGGTTAAAGATTATTAGAATAGTTACATGTAAAGTAATTTTTTTATTGTAGGTGAGGCAAAATAAAAAAAAAGCCCCTTTAAGCTCCAAAGAACTAAAAACTGTCCAGCAATTTTGAGTGTGTGTCCTGTTATAGGTTTAGAAGAGATATGTAATGCTCCTGTGACAAACCTTAGGGTTGTGTTGATGGATGATTTATCCTTGTGCTGATCTTGTCCTGAACAAATGCTAGAAGTGTTGACTGATGAAAAGTTTAAACTCATAATAATAATAATATAAATCTTTAGCTGATGATTGATGATTAGATGTATGATACTGTAAAATTGAGAAAGCGGGTTAATATAGTGGGGGGGAAACAATTGAAGTGATTTATTTAATGGCCCTTTAATTAAGATCCCTCACTTGGACCATCATGACACCATTTTCACATAAATTATGAAGACCATCATTTCATAAGGAGGGCAGTATGAATTCTCCTATGTTGTTATTTTATGTTAAGTTTGAGAGTTGCATTTTCACATCTGTGTGATTGAATCAAGCTTTATTTATAAACTGGACTGTTCGTATGACAACCTCATCATGCGTTGGAGGCTTGAGGTTGAACACCTTTGTGTGTGTGGTTTTTTTTTTTAAGAGTTGTTGGACTGACAGTCTGAGATAAGAAGACTGGGCATCACTGATGGAGAGTGACCCAGTGATGAGCAGCTTGTTTTAAAAACTGCGTTGCTTTTCAAAAACAAACCCTTTCAACACTTTTTTTTTTAAATTCAGGAACGGCCTATTTGTGTTCTCGCCTGCCTCCAAAGCTTCATGACAACGTTTGTAACCTCCTCAATCAAAACAAGGTTTACGTGTAGTGTATGAAGTGGCGTGCATTATGAAAAAAAAGGGGAAATAATAACACCTAATAGTCAGCCTGTCAGATGTGCCTATCTGCTGTAGAGGAAACAAAAATAAATGTAACCAGATTTGAATATCTTACATTTGAGGCTGACGCAGAGAGGACGGATCAAAGGGAAGAGAGACACACCAGAAGAGGGAAGGGGGGCGTGGAGGGGGGGGGGGCAATCATAAACACCTTGTCTCATATTAATAAGTGAGGGGAATGGTTTCTAAACCAGCCCGCAACATCAAGTTTCATGTGTTTGGGAAGGGAGGAGGTGTAAAGTGAAGTACATCAAAACATAGATAATGAGGGCTGGGTTAAAAATGGCTGTGCATGAAATATTGATCATAAGCTGCATTTTTATATCTTTAATATCAGAAACCAGGAATGTAAAGAGATTCCTGCTAACTATGACTGCAGGACACAGAGTGATACAGATTAGGAGGAGTCTTTATTTCATATTTACTCCAGTAAATTAGTCATTTCATAACCATATACTGTGCATCTTTTCTATATCTATGCACTCTGCTTCTGTTCTAGATTTAAAAGCCTTTTTTTTACGTTTCATTTTCTTCTTCTCCTGTTGTGACGATCAGACTTTTCATGTAAAACAAATCGCTCGATGGCCTTTCTCCAGTTCTTAAAAGCTGCTGAAATAACTGCAGGTTCTGTATTCTTTGCCAGTGGTGAGGTATCTGTGTGAAACGCTTTGACGCCATAAGAGCAAAATACACCTTCCACACCAGGGTTGAAATGAAGCCAAGGGAATCTGTTGTACCATTTTTGTTTTTAATTAAATGATGCACTTTCTTGCTGTCTAATGATGTTTTCAGGATCTGGCTTATTTAGTTTAGTTACTGAGTTACTGAGAATGTTCGGTTTGAGACTGCCTCATAGAGAAGGCTAGTGATGAAAAATATGATCAAGAGTCCGTATATTGTGCTTTATTTTGAAATTGACCGGATGCTCTGTGCGTTTCTTTGTCTGACTTCCTGTCCGGGCTGTCATATTCTGTCCAGCTTGACGCGTGCCTGCAGAGTACTCCGGCGAAAATCGACTTGCTGCGTATTAGAAACGAAGCAGAGCGCAGTGCCGTTGGTGGCACGCTCCGGTGACGGACCGCAGCGCGCCCTGTGTGAACACAATGATTGACTAGAGTGAAGGCTAAGTACAACGTAGTACGCGGCGCTGACGGAAAGCGGCGCGCACGGGGTATGTGTGAATTGGGGGTTAGTCTTCTTTGTTGTTGTAGATGATATTGTAACTTGCCAACTTTGTTACAAAAACAGAAATTTCCGAGACGCGTGCTGAGCAACTGACCAATAACGACAGAGCGGATCGGCAGACCAATCAGAGCAGACTTGGCCCACGTGGGGTCCAACAGTGGGGGCTCAGCAGAGTGTAGCTGACGGACTCAGAGCGTAGAGGGAGCAAGGAGGAGCTGTACATGAAAACAGACACCTTTTTATAACTTTAGCTATTGTGAACGTACAAAAGTAGAAACATAGATTAAATATACAAACCCCAAAAAGGGTATAATATGGGCTCTTTAAAAATGAAAGAAATTATTAGAAAGAACCATTTCTCAGAAATAAAACCCCTTCAGATGGTCTGTCCCAGTGATGTCAGCGATGACGTCATCAATCTGATAAATACCCAGGAAGTGCTGGGCCAGCCCCTTTTACCTGCATGGAACCACATGGGAAACTGAACAAACAGAGTTAAGTATGGTTAAGAGACAAGCTATGATATTTTACACTTCCAGAAACTAAATGAAAATGACTGAACTAAATCAAGACTGTGTGTTTGCTTTAAGTTAATTTATACTTTGATGTGAACTGTAAGTTAATGCTAACACAAACAAACCTGGGATAGTAAGTGCAGCGATGTTGCACTTAAACAAAAATAAATTAAAGCTAAATACACAACTGTAATTAATGATGTGATTTGATATCAAATGAAGATTTAAGTGACACGTGGTGAATAAGAGAAGAGCTTCTCACCCACTTTGTCACAATGTTATGTTAAGTTTTCTACGTGCTGATTCATATAAAGATAATTGTCATATTTCTCTGACCTTGTCATTTGGTAGGTCAGGTTTTTTCGTGTATTCTTCTACCTTTTTGACCCGTCCAGTGAATTAGATGGTGAGCCTTCACACCTGGATCTAAAGACAGAGACGCCTTGTGGTCACTGGACATGTTCTGCCGCACTCTTTGGTGTGGTAGGCCCAGTTTTTACAGACACCTTCACACAGCCCCACATACAATTCCATTTTTCTCCCCAACCACTTATACACACACTCACCCATCATCGCTGGAAGTTTGAATAACCAAGACTTACTTTTTTCCTTTAACTTCCCAGAAAACTTATGGACTGACACTTTTTGACTTTTCTTCATCTAAGACTATTCAAGGACGATTCAAAATACCAGCACCTCATTCTGTGGAAGTGTAAAATGGTGGCTAATGTGAATGGTGTTTGTAATAAGATTTTATTTCTTTACTCTGAACTGAAATGGATTTGAATAACTTGAAAATTAGATTTAGGTTTCAGATAACAAGGGTGCACCCAAGATAGAAAGGCCAATTTGATACTGAAAAACTGTTCTGTTTATTTTTGTGTATGGTACCAACTCACGTTTGTCAACAATTGTTCTACTAAAGCTGGTAAATGTTTACATTTATTACTTGTCTCTGAGCCTCATTTGAACACTCCACTTTGCTCCAGTAGTCGAACATATTGTTCCTTTAAAGTCTTATATTGCAAGTATTAGTCCCCCCCTTTTGGATGTTACAACAGCTTCTTCTTGTAAATATTCTGGCAGTGGCAGATTTATAATTTGGCGGTTCTTCTTCTTCTTGATGCTTAATAAAGGTTGGAAAAAAACCTCAGTGTGCTTCAGTGCAATCAAAATGGATTCAAAATAACTTATTCTAAACATGATTGATACGATTTAAAAAAAAAAAGTATAAATAAGAAAAAAATACTTAACTTTACACGTTACATTGTTTTTCTCAGAAGATTTTTAACTAACAATAGGAGAGTCTTCAAATTTAACACATCTGTTTGATATTTTAGCGAGTTTTGCCTTTGAGACATTTCCCATCTGATGCACCGTACACGTCATGTCTCCTCCGTTTGGATTGACAAAAGAAAAGTTTGTTTCTTTTGTTTAAACCTAAACATTTCTATGTATTTAATACACGGCGTTTTCACAAAAAAGACAGGGACAACATGACAGATATTTAAAATGGAATGATTAGAGACCAATTGTGGCATTGTAAAACACATTAAAATATAAAGATTTAATGAAAAATAAATGTTATAAAACAAATTAATCAGGTGATCTGAAGATACCATAGACTCTAAAAATGGAACATACAAAATAGCAAGGAAGAGGTTAAGTTAAGAGAGGCATTGAAGGTCACATATTATGTGAAATACACTTTACCATGGTTTTTCTAACACTAATGAAGGCAACCAACAACTCATCGAAAAATAAGCAATATAACAGGTAAAAACATTTGTAAATGTTTAGATGTGCTATTTGATCTGATCTGCTATTAAAGGTTGAAGAACTAAAGTTGGTCGGTTTCAATGATAAAACGAATAACCTCTAGAGATGATACCTTTTTTTTAATTGTTATTTGAAAGGCAATTGAAAGTTTCCACAAAAGCAAAGAGAATCACTAAACTGATTTAAGTTGACTAAAATAGAAATATATAACTAGACAATTTCACAGGAACTGAGTTGTGATAAGTACAACTGACTTGATGTCAAGTTTATTTGACTAGAAAATTGTATTTCTTTGGAATAATCACAAATGTGTCACAACTTATCTTTCTTTAAGTTCAGTTAACTTAAAATTTTAAGGCAGCCCGGACACTAACTTTTTTAAGTTATAAGAGCTTTTTCACAGTGTACAAATTAAAGAATGTAACTCAGGAGGTCATCTTTCTTGCTGCCAACAGCTTTGGTCACTCACAGAACGGACGGGAGAGGAGATTGAACTTTTTTTTTTAATGCAGTGACACTAACACATGTAACTGAGTTTGAATGATGCACAAGGTATGAATAATTAAAGGTAATCTGTCAGAATATGAATCATTTAAGCACACAAGCAGTAGACATTAAGAATAAACTGTCTTAATGAGAGGTAGGCCTATCTAAAAAATGACCCATAGAAATCATTGCCTTTTGAAATTACTTTGAGAATGTGTGCCCTCCTGCTTTAAAGGTGGAGTCAGTAGAAATGTTTGTTTCGGCTTGTAAACACAACATTGAAACTGGGCCGCTCCTCCATGGGCTCCACGCCACAATAAGTGCACGCCCACTGCAGGACTTAAGCGTGTACGTTTACTGCCTGTACTAATAATGCGAGCTATAGACCAGGGCTGAAATAGAGGCATGCTAAAATACAGGATCAGAGTGGATTGTTGTGCAAGAGACTTCACAGACATGTTTTGGGGACAGATTAATTTGAACTTGTTGGAAAGGAGTTCATTATGTGACCTTTAAACATAAAATTAAATTATTTTACATTTCCAACTTTAATCTTGTAATATTTTCTTCTCATACATTTACAGCTTTATTCTTGTAATATAACAACTTTATTTTTGAAAACATTAGGACTTTTATATTAATTATGTAGCCCAATACCTCTTTGAACGACATAACTACAAAAACAGCATGCTTTTTTTGTTTTTGTTTAACTATATAAGAAGACTATTTACACAAGACAATGAAATGAAGTAATATGTTTCAGCCCACTAAAGTGAACCCTTTGACTTCACCCTTTGTCTCATGTAAGGAAAACATCCTTAAAACCTGTCCAATTGCACAAAGTACAGAAGATTCCAGCATCATAGTCCACTTGTTTGGATAAGACTCTGTAAGTAAGAACTACAAACATTTGTGTATGTCAGCTAAAGTGTCAGGGTTCAAATTTCATGGTCCCTGAATATATTACCTATTAGGCAGGCTACAGCACGCTTCAGTTTATCAGTGTTAAAGGACATGAATCTGACTGCAGTGAGCCACAGTATCCCTCTCAGTGATGGGAACAGGATTCCACTGCTGGGACTGGGCACCTATGGGGACCCTCGAACGGTCAGAATATCTTTTGTGTTGCTAGATTTGAATAAGAGCTTGGCTTGATAATATCTGCTCTACCACTCTTAGTTTGTAGGAGTGCTGCTGCTTATTGCTCTCAGAAACTGGATAAACATTAACAGTTATTTAAATCGTCTCAATGTGAAAGCAAATGTCAATCCAAACCAGGTCAAATGATATTTACATTTTCTGTGGGTTTTCAATAGACGCCCAGAGGCACAGCTCTTGAGTGTGTCAAGCTGGCCATAGATGTGGGTTACAGGCATTTTGATGGGGCTCTGGTGTACTTCAATGAGCATGAAGTGGGTCAAGCCATTAGACAGAAGATTGCTGAGGGAGTCGTGAAAAGAGAGGACATCTTTTACTGTGGAAAGGTAAGACGATAGGTAACGTGCTTCGCTTCATGCCATTTTTTATCTTGTTGTTCTTTAAGTAGCTCTATTTTTCAATCTGCCCTAGCTCTGGAATACCTTCCATCCACCAGAGTTGGTGAGACCAGCCTTGGAGAGGACACTGAAAACCTTAAAACTAGACTATGTGGATCTCTACATCGTTGAGCTCCCTATGGCCTTCAAGGTATCTATACCACTTTTATATAAATGTTAGTGTACTAATCAGCCAGCTGTCCAGTGTCTGAAAATGTTCTTAATGCGCAGAGTTGATGTTTTATTTAATTACTACTTTTATAGATTTGATAAATATCAGTCATGGTAGACCATTTATTAAAACATTTAAATCTCACAGTTGTGTGATATGTTGCTGATGCAACTCTTAAAAGATTGGACATTCATGCCTATGTTTGGATAAGATCGGAAAAGTGCAACTTGGTGTTTAGGTCATAGTCTGATATTTGTTTATTTAGTCAAATGAACCCAACATCACCTCACCTTTAGGATAAGGTGCTGTATACATTTATAGGGACATTCCCCTGTAATAATATAATCAATATGGTCAGGTTGTTTAAGCAACAAGAATATGTATAAATGTTCACACAAGTGTTTGAATTATGCTTCAATTCCAGCCTGGCAATGAGTTCTATCCAAAGGACGAGGATGGAAAATACATCTACCACCACACAGACATCTGTGCAACATGGGAGGTGAGGTCTGTTGAGGTCACAGTGGATGTTTAGTGTTTAATGACTTCAATTCTTCCCCCTGTTGTAATGTTCTGAGAGGGTATTTTCTCACTTTTTGTAACATTCATTCATACATTTATGTGTAACTCTGTTTCAAAGAGTTATATACATACAGTATGACTTTGAATATTCAGACACAACTGAGCATGGTGAGATGGTGATTAACTGCATAGAGTTTATAAAGTATTATATTAAATTAAACTAGAGGTTATCTCATAAAATTTCAAATTTCATTGTGCAACATGACTTCAGTTGTTCCTTTCTCCAACCTGAAGGCTCGGCTAAACTTGTCTACATTTTAGACGTGCTTGTAATAACTTGTGACTGCCATCCTGAAATAAACCAGACATCGATAATTATGACAGTAAACATATTTAGAATTGGATTAAAGGAAAACCACTAAGTATGTGGCGTGATATTCCTCTGAACTTAAAGACTAATGTGTAAACATTCTGTGATGAAGTATCAAGGTCAATGTCATAAACAGCCATTGTGTGTTCAAAGGTCTGATTGTTCTTCTACACTGTGTGCTGTAGTTTTTTTCTCCACTATCTCAGTAAGTCTGTACAGATAATCACGCCCATGCTCTGCAAGATGTAAATCTTTTCCTCTCAACAGGCCTTGGAGGCTTGCAAAGACGCAGGATTGGTCAAATCTCTGGGAGTCTCCAACTTCAACCGCAGACAGCTGGAGCTGCTGCTGAATAAACCCGGCCTCAAACACAAACCTGTGTCCAACCAGGTGACCTCCACTTTAGATCCCTGACACCTGAATGGTCAGAGTCATTAACAGAAGAGATAACAGTCTCTATAGAAGAATATTATGGCAGTATATACAGCAGTGTATTAGACATGAGGCGTTCTTAGCTTGTTGTGCTTCATTTAAGAAATAAACTTCACATTTTATAAGAAAACTCTGACAGAAAAAGTTACTTTGTTTAAAGGATTATCCTTTACTGGTTGAAATTACAGGAAGGATTTTCTTCTGTCAGTCTACTTAGATAAATTAGTTCTTTAGTGGTCTTTGCAGGATGCTGTTATTCCCACATTGAAAGAGTTTTCTGAAGATGTTATATTAAAAGGGATACATGTAGCATACTGAGTACTCAACAGATATTATCGATGAAACGTTAAGTCACAAATTACAAAATATTCTTTATAAATAATAATGATTGGAAGTCTTTATTCTATTCTCATCCAACTGTCAACCCAGTGTCTGACCACTTTGGGCCAAATGTCTTCTTCTTACATACCTGTAGGTTGAATGTCACCCGTACTTCACACAACCCAAGCTCATGGAGTACTGTCGCCACAACGACATTGTGATTGTTGGATACTGCCCAATTGGCTCCTCCAGAGATGCATCCTGGTATGTAAGATAAAATGCACTTTTTATAGCAGATGTGATACTATTAACAGAAGATGACGTTAAAGAGGATAAAGAATCAATGTCCAATAACAAAACTAAGCAGATAAGTGAAGTTTTTCCTCTCTGGTTCAGGGTGAATGTGAAATGTCCCCCCATGCTGGAGGACGAGCTGCTTGTATCCATCGGGAAAAAGTACAACAAGAGCAGTGCTCAGGTGGCTCTACGCTTCAACGTCCAGAGAGGAGTCGTCGTGATCCCCAAGAGCTTCAACCCAGAGAGGATTACACATAACTTTCAGGTGGCTTTTATCAAAAATGATTACCTGATAAGAGCTTGTATCAACTGTACATAGTGAAAACACTTATCAATCAGATAAGTTATGGTGCTAAAACTCATATTTTATGCAGTGATTTTAGAGTAGACATACCCTGGTTTAATCAAATCACATATTTTGTTCCAGATATTTGATTTTTCACTCACTGAGGATGAAATGAAAGCTGTTGAAGCACTGAACAAAAACATTCGATTTGTTGAGCTGCTGATGTAAGTATAAGCATTTATAGATTATAGTCAAAGGAGAGTTCAGCCTAATACTGTACCTAACCTGGATGTATTTATATAGGTCCTACTTAGTACTTTAATACATTGTGTTGTGTTTTTTGTTCTGAAATGCAAGAACAGTTTTATTGAAGTCTTATTAGTCCTCATCATCGTCCAGCTCAGAAGTAATAACACTTTTTGTTTGTCCTAACACAGGTGGAGTGACCATCCCGAGTACCCATTTCATGATGAATACTAAACTTTGGGATGTTTTTCTGCCTCAATTCACCAATAGTGTTTACAATGTTTACACTGAACACTAGAGGGCACTAGTTCACAGTATATGAAACGTACAAGTAAAGGAACATTTAAAGGGGTTTACTTACAGCTCAAATATGTGACTACAAATTTGTTTTTTACTTTCAGTTTCATTGGACAATCACATGTTGCTCATTCAAATAAATAAATAGATGATTGTAAGCTAAAACTGATTTAAATGGAATTATTGCAACTACACACAAAGCTTTTGAATTCACATTGGCAAAATATTCAGTACAGAGAAAAATAACAATCACAGCAATCCAGATTATCGTTCAAATATTTTCAGATATGCCAGCTACTGATGTCCACATTATCACTATAGTAAATTTTAGTTTGAATGTCACGCTGATGTAGAACAAAACTGTTTGTATGCAATGCTGTTTGTAATGTTGGTTGTGTTAAAATAAAATAAAAACTTGTAACTTTGGTTTAAACGTTGAATGTGTCGTTCCTAATTCTCCAAGAAAGTCAAGTTTCTTCAAGTGATGTTATATACAACACAAGTTGACCAAAGCACTTTTCCATATTCAAAGGTAAGGCTAAAAAAACAACAGAGATATGGAACAACCTTTGACAAAACAACTATTATGTAAGTCCAACAGCCAAAAGTATAAAATGACCTTTGAGCTGTGGTTTCAAAAAAGGCTTGAAGTTGTGAAGGATCTCTTTAGCTGAAGCACACTTAAAAAGTCAGATGCTATTTGGAGGTGACACTGGGCAATGGGCATCTTTAGAAGTTCTAGATGAACGGATTTAGTATATGAAAAGCTACACTGTAAAAAAACAAACCTGTTGTTTGAACTTAAAAAAATGTAATGTCTGGGCTGCCATAATTTTCTAAATTGACAAAATTTGGGATTATAAATTGAGATAAATTCAAAACAAAAACATTACTGGTTTGGTTTCTATAAGTTTATTCAAGTTGTATTCATCTTCCTTCATGGCTGAAACCGTGAAGCAAACCGGGAACTTCTTTGTAAATTGGTTAAATTCTACATTAGTTGAGAAGAGATAAAGACGAGATAATGAGTCATCACAACATTTACACTAACTTATATCAAAAGGCAGAATTTAAGTTACCATGACTACTTGTCTTGACAGTGTAGTTATTATGATAACACTGATATTCTGGAGGAATTCAACATCTGTTTAGAGGTCAAATGAACTAGAAACATTCATGAAAAAAAGTCAATTAGAAACAATTGCTAATTTGTACATGAATACTTAACTGCTCCAGAGAGAAACATGCACAGAGCTGCTGCAGTAGATCTGAACAGAAGATAATGACCAGCCTGTTTGCAAAACTGGGATTGTAGTAATGAGAACTTTTTTACTTCACTTTAAAACGTTTAAATAACTAATAGAAACATTTAAAATACTCGCCCTGCTTCCCAAACATGTCAGGCTCTGAGGAATTTTGGCTGAAGTAACTTGTTTTTGAATGCAAGGTATCCTCTTGTTCGGCCTCATCAAAGGGGGCAATGAGGAGGAGTATAGAGACACAATAAACAACTTTGTGGAAATTTTGCATCCAGCTTTTAAATACATTGCCTTGCTTTACTCTGAACTCGCTGTTGGTCTTGTTTGGTCGCAGAGGGCAAGCGATTTAGGTCAGATCAAATCTGCCATCGTGATGTTGACATACCGTGTAATCTTTGTGTACACACCTTTAACTCACTTGTGATTTCATGAACAGTTTTTATACTCAGTTGTTTGTCACAGATGTTTGGAATTCAACATTTTGTTAACGCGGGCATATGAATCTGGAGAGCAACCATGAGAAACTCTCAGGTTTGAGACCCCTTATTTTCAAGGCCTCTCTTGAATTATATTGCATATACGGGTAGACCAATATTAGACATTTCATTTTTCAAAAAACCTCAAAATGTAGAAAGATTGGAGGTGTCTTCATCTAATTCATTGATCAATCCATCAATAACAAAACATGCAGTCCAGTCAAAATATATAAGTTGTCTTCCAATGACCTCAAATTGCAACAGTTATTTTGATGTGTGCACTTCTTTTGGCTCGAGCAGCTCAAATATTAAAAATTAACAAGTCTTGTGAGCGAGTCCCCTCAATGTCTGCCCAGCTATGGATTACATTTCAACCTAAAGTGAATGCTGAGATCTTTAACGTGAAGCATTTACTCTAAACAACCCTATTTAAAGTAAATGACAATCTGAGCAGTGACCTGTGAGACGTGGGTTTTAGCTGTTTGTCACGAGGCTGAAGGCCCTCCTCAGCTCCAACTATTTGCCTGTTAGGTTGAATGAAAGTTCAATTTGAGACAGCATTTCCAATATGGCAAAACATGATTGATAGGCTTTAAAAGTCCACTTCAGAAACCAAGGGTGATGTCACTGAGACTACATCCATGTATAGCCCCGATCCGGGGGAAATCCAGACTTTGACAGGCCGCCCTGCAGTGGCATCTCGCTTCAACCTGCTGCAGGTTTGAATGTAAGCTGTCCTAAAAAGTGAATATTTTCCTCCTTTTAGCATCTGAAGGAAATGGTCTATATACAGTCTATAGGAACATGTGTAAAACATTTTAGGAATATTATCTTGAAAATGTCCTGAGTGTCAAAGGGACTCAAGACACTTTAGGTGACAACATGTTACAAAAAACGACTTATTTCAAGCTAGTTGGCTTCTGCTTATTTACAGATTTTTGAACTGACTCTAGGCAACTTAAACAGGTTGGGTGTTCATACAATGAAAACTGACACAAAACTAATGTCAGGCAGACGGCTTTGCAAATGTGTTGTGTGTCTTGAATTATAATTCGATTTGAGGTGTGTGGGAGGGGGGGGGGGTTAGGAAGTTTACAAATAAAGAGACCTGATCCTGAAAGATTTCAGACAGGAAAAGCAGTCACTCAGTCCCCCCTATCCCCACCTCCATAAAGACCCTCTGGATTGTGACCTTCTAACAAATGCCTTGAACCGGCCACTCTGGACCCCTGCGGTGGGAAAATGTTCTGAATGGGCAACTGGGTCTGTGAGGAAGGAATAAAGACTCTTTTGGGGGTGCTGAATTAAGGATCTGTGCAGGGGCTTCATGAAACAGGAGCGATGTTTTGGTTACAATAAGGCAGAAAATACAACCAAAAAAATGGGTGCTTTTACAATATGTTAGGAATTAGATGCACAAATAATAATAATAATAACAATAAAATGAAAACAAATGCAAATGAAGCGTTTTAATTTCCTTTAAGTCATCATCTAACCAAATCTCGGATATAGTCCGGATCTTTGCACATATTCATACACGTCGTACCAGGCGCTTCCCTCTATACTTTCTGCTTGCTCTCTGGACAGAAAGGCCCTGGGAGAATGTGTGTGTCAAAAGGTTATGCAATCAGCCCACCACGCTGAGACAGCACAGACCTCTAGTGTGCTGTTTGTGTGTTTGTGTGTGGCGGTGTCTGAATGGGAGAGGAAAAGGGGGGGTTTGTCAGAGAGGGGCAACTCAGAGGGAAAACCTCAGTGCAGGCTGCATGAAAGTCGTTAGTTTCTCAGATCTCCTCCCCTGCATGAGTGTTATTTAGTGAAACCTGAAACGGCAGCAGGCCTGAATTTACTCACGTCTCCAATCTGCTGTCAAACATGAAAGGTGAGTGCCTTTGAATATTGATAACATTTTTCTAAATCAACTATGGATAATTAGGGAAAAGAAGCGGTATTCATAAGATATTTTTAACATAATCAAGATTAAATTTGTACCTGATGGTTTGTTTATTGCTATACTCAGTGAAAGCGCCATGACATTTCTCTTACATAATCATTTTGAGAGACCTCTGCTTTGCAAATATAGCATGCAGGGCCTGCACTATTTAAATATTACATACAGAGACTGTGCATCCAGAAATCAAAAGTTCACTCTTATAATGTATCTGTTAAAGAATCATGCTGTACAATGCTGTAATGGGATGGTAGATTAAATGTGACTGGATGTGTATTTAAAGACAGAGTTGTTTGTATGGCCTGTTGTTCATTTACAGTTATGAAGAACTTCAAAAGCATGTAAGTTGTTTATCAGAGGAAATTACCTCAAACTAAAATCCACATGAAATACAGATTTTGTTTGCGATCAAAAATATCTTTTTTTTTTTTTTAACATTAAATGCTCACTCTATGAGGCACATTACATTGCAAGTTATGATTGAATGAAATGTTCATGAATGAATCAAAAGCACGATGCATTTTTAAAACACAGCTCATGCTATTACCTTCAAATTGTGCTTTTTTAGCACAGCCCGGTTTTTAAATCATAACTTCCATCTCCATCAATATGTAGGCATATGGGCTATTGTAACAGTAAAATCTGCTCTGCAAACAGGTATACTTGTGGCATTGATGTCCCTAACTTATATAACTCACCCGGTTATATATTAGCCTGCAATTAGCCAACTGTGGGAGCTTCAGAGTACAGGACAGTATGAATATGTAACTCTGAGCTGCACGGGTTCAGAACCTGTGCCAGATTACTGTCTTTGTTCATGAGATGCTACAAAGACCCACAGGCTCAGGCATCCTCAGGCTTTTGTTCCAATCTGTACGGATATTATGAATGGGTTTTAAGTACCATCAGAATCAGAGTGTGGAGGGAGTTAGGGTCACTCACACTGGTGGGGTGGTTGAATTATACATGCAATATTTGTATTCAGCATCATGATAAATAATCAACATAAACCAAAATTAAGAAGGATGTCTTTAGAGCATGAAGCTAAATTAAGAACGTGGAACATGACAATGTTAGTTTAACTATTTTGATGTTAAAAGCAGCTAAAACTTATAGAAATGCACTGACTGTGAAAAACAAGGCAGATACAGATACCAATGTTTAAAATAATTGTGTCTGTTGTCAAATGAGCTATGGGATTTGATGAATTTAAATTGTTGCTAAGAATGTTTCTTACAAACTACAGGTCACTGATATTTCTCTGAGGCAGTGTGTTGCTGCTTTTACACACAAAATTGAATTTTCAGGTTAAGCAGAATGTGTGAATGCAAAACAGCTTAATCTTTACTTTAACTTTACCCAGAATTTTTCTTTCCAGCCCCTTAGTACATTTTGTTTGTGAAGACGGGGCGAGCAGATGTTTGAATGCAGCAGGTAATATTCAGGAAAATTTAGCACGAGCGAAGAGGAGTGGCCGGGGGTGATGATCACATTTATATCCTATACGGCAGGCGTACAACCATAGATTGTATGCCCACATCTGGTGCGATCTCTGTGCACCTAATGAAACTGATTTACATGTATTATGTTTTCTGTCTGCCAAACTGCAAGCACTGATAAAGGCAAAAATGATCATCATAGCATCAGATTAACGTTGCTTGTGGTGTTGTTTTTACGCCATGTACTGCCTCCTGAGACTCCTCCTTCTTCTTTATCCCGCTATGTGTGAACAAGCAAGTCAGGACGATTTCAGGGAGGGGGGTCTGTCTGAAATTTTCTAGGAATCTACAGGAGTGTATGTGAAAACGGCTTTACTCCATACTACTGATAAATCATTTCACTTTTTACCATGCAAATCAGAGTTTAATAAAAACTTAAACTTAAAAAAAGCTTCTCTGAATGAGCAGTTAATATACTAGCTTGCCAGCATTGAATTGATGAGACACAACAGGTATACATAGGCTATCACAATGTCTGTCAACAGGACCAATATCAGCTGTTACTTATGCTACAACTTGTGCCGAGCATGTGTCGAGGGTTTCATGAGTACACTTAGGGCACACTCACACTATAGCAAAGTTGTCCCATACCGTGCCTAAGCACGATTGCCCCCCCTCCCTATTCCCCCACTGGCCTGCTCTCACACTGCTCCAAGACTAACCGGACTTGAGCGCGGTTTCCGCTTGTACAAGGTCATAATACAACAAATGCATGGCTTTACGTAATTATGAAGCGTGCCTATGAAGATTGCCTAGTGTGAGAGTGCGCCATGAGACATCCCTGTTGAGTGTGGTTGTAGGTTTTAGGCCCAACAACGGACATTTCCTACCACTCCTTTTGTAACACAAACAGAGAAAGAACTCCATAGAGGGGCAGCAGGGCATTGCTGACCATACTGGGGTTAACAGGTCCAACTGTTATACTGGGGATCCCTTAGAGTTGCTGGCAAAATATTTGGATAATATGATGTTATTCAGTTCAATTCAATACAATAAAAACAACAAGGGGCAATTGGGTTGAAGCAGCTTGTACATAAGACATATAAAACACAGTAACATTAGATTTTACATAAAAGCTATATTCAGTTAGATTCAGTTAAAACCTTAAATGTATCTGAAATCACAAAAAAATACTCAATAAAAATACTGAATCAAATTATGAAATGCTATATTATACATCTATCATACTTTTAAAAATATTTACAAGTATATTTTTGTATGTGTTACCATCTAAAAAAAAAGCACTCTTGTTTTTGTTTGTCATTTATTTCTACAGAGTGCCCATTTTGCTCCACTGCAGTTTCTGGTTCAGACTCCCTTATTCAGACTGCGTTTGACTGGGGTTGCGTTATGCATCCACTCCTCTTCTCCCAAACGTGGAGGGGAACTTTTCCCTGATTCAGTAAACACGTAGTAAAAGAAACAGTCTGATACCACTAAATCAAACGTTAGTGCATTCACAATATAGTAACTCTCTAAATTGTTCATTCATTAGTGCATTCACAATAACTCAACGTTGTTCAAACGTTAATGTGCATATTCACAATATCTCCCAGCCTTGTTCAGTTGTAAACACGTAAAAGAAACACAGTCTGATACCGCTAATTCAAACGTTAGTGCATAACTCAACATTGTTCAGTTACGTATAACACGTAAAGCTCACTTTTTCAGTTCATTCCCCGTCCATGAATCCCTCGAATTCTTCTTCTTCAGTGTCCGAATTGAACAGTTGGGCGAGTACGGCATCCAACATGCCCGGCTCCCTCTCGTCATTATCCGAGTCAGTGTCGCTGAGCGCCGTGTACAACCAGTATGGATCAACCAATTAACCAATTGATCCATATATAAGGCGCTCCGGATTATAAGGCGCACTGTCGTTTTTTGAGAAAATTAAAGGCTTTTAAGTGCGCCTTATAGTGCGGAAAATACGGTAATTGATATCCTCATTGGCACACACTGTACGGGGGGGTGACTCTTTTTATAATGCATCCATTTTGATTTAATGAACAATACCTGTTATCCACAGTTAGGCGCGCATAGCCGACCTGATCGACAGGTGGGTGCGATTTAACGGTTTGTTAAGAACCTTAAAACCCTCTTTGGCTCCAGCTCTTAGTCTGTCATTAGACTGTCTGAAAGTTAGACTACGACAGGATGGTGTCATGGTGGCTGCTGCCGATGAGCCTCTGCAGCCCCCTGTAGCAGATCGGTGACATCACTCAGGCCTTGTCCATTAATATTTACAGTCTATGGTGAATTCACAGACTTTGACACCAATATTACGCCGTTAATGAATCAATATGAATGTACAATGAAGTAATGACAGAGGAGCTTCGTAACAGCGCTGTTGCGGAATCCCACCCTGAAAAGAGGAGGGTGAGAGGAGTAATCTTCAACCTTACCACTAGATGCCGCTAATACTTAAATACAGGTCTTTAAAGGGCAACTCTGTCAATTTGAATATAAGGCTCAGTAGTAAGAAGCCTTCATTGACTATGGAAGGAGCTTTCTAACTTTGAAGATAAAACCTGATGATGTCATCATGGTGTCATTTACGTGTTTTAACCCGCTGTGGGTCAAAACACTTAAAATTCTTATCAGGAACCTTGGTTGCAAGAATTTTGTATATTGTGGTGGCTGTCAGGGTGGGGGGTCTCAACAATGAAATATGTTAGTGAAAGGGGTTGTGTGGGTCAGAGAAAGCTATAAAAAGTTAGACAAATTTGCCTCATGTGACAGCACTTGAGGCTGTGTCTGTTTGGCCTGGAGAGTGCAAGTTTGCAAAAGAAAAAAAGTTAGTTGATGAAATTAGAAAGACTTGATATGGACCTATGGGTCTGAAATAAAGTCAATTCATTCAGTCAGTCAATCATCTAATAGGTCAGTCTGTCAGTCACTAACTCACAAGCTCAGTCAGTCATAGCTTTTCAAAAAGAGGTGAAATTTGCACTGTTTCCTTGGATAAGGCTTCACTGCACCTCAATGAAGTCACTCCATCTTGTTTTTTTTTTCTTAAAATGTGCCTCTCCGCCACAAGTATCTACATGTGAAAACTACTGCAGTCTATAAATGATAATATTTTTAAGCCCCCCCTTAAGAGGAAAGGGTTTTGAATGTGTGATATTTGACTTGTGTGTTAGCACCCACACACAAAAAAAAAATGAAAAAGTGAGGGAAACTGTGATCTGGCTGCAAGGCCATTGAGGATTCTCATTTGCCAGCACAGAGCAGAGGGGCTCCTCTGCTTTTGTTGCACCAAGCCTTCATTCCCACCAAGTACCTCCTGAAAACAAGGGGCTCTATTTTTACCTCAGGCCACAATCTGGCTCTGATGCTGGAGGTTTTGGCACTAAACATGGTCCAACCTCCAACCACATCAACACGGTACACAGAGTAACACTTGTGCTCCACCTCTGCCCTGTTGCCAGTAGGAGTACATTCCTAAAGGTGGTTGCAAACAAGACTTCTGGCAAAATGGGATTTCCCTCCTATGTGTTGCTGTTGTCAGAACTAAATATTTAAAAACAGACAGCTTCCTTGACCCTATGAGACCAAGTCCCACAACATGAAATGAGTTTGTTTGTGTGAACGTGTGCGAAAGGGAAGGTGATTTTGTTTCGACATGTATTCTTGTGAATTAGTTTGAGTGTGTCCCTGCAGAATGATGACCAATTTGGTTGAATTTGGCCTGCAACAGCGACCGTGAGGAGCTTCAGAGAAAGGAAAAGGGGTAACAGAAGGGTTCGGGAGAGAGCTGTTAATGCAAGCTGACAGGAGTGAGCACAGTCAGTGAGCTGTCTGTTTCCTCTATACAGAGGGAAATTCTTTCAGCAGCGCTGGCCCTGAAACTAGGGTCTTGCCAAAGGCTTGACAAGCCTCTAACATGGTCATGTAACATCAAGCAATTAGTGACCTCATCCAACCCAAATGTGACATATAGCACACATAAACATAAACACATGACATGTACAATGGGAAGTAACTCAGAACTAGCCAAGGTCCTGAAATGTAATATTGTCTCTTATTAGTGTGGTTAACCTTTAAATAAGCCAAATTCCTTCGTAATGACCGACACACACTCACAGAAACTAATTGTAACCAGTATCCTCACCAGTGAGTTGTAATTGGATTGGTAAGAAGGGGGGATTTTTGACACCAGCTGTAAGACTATTGAACGCAAAATAATAAGCCCTCCATCCCCCCTCAAACCCCACACAGGACTACCTCACTGGACTGTGCAATATAATATAAAAGTACATGTGCAATATATTTTATAGTAATGTTATACATAGTTTCCTTTTTATACCTATTTATGTCTGCACCTTATTCTTATGTAAATACTTGCTGCTGTTTTTTTATCCTGCACTATAACGAGAAAACTGCAATGAAATATCGTTCGTACCTGCACTGTAAGGTACTATTCTAGGAAGAAAGTCTAGGTCTAAGTCTAATGACATGTAATGTTGATTCAATTTTCTGGGAATATAACCTAAATGCACATTACTAAATGCAGCCTATATCACAACCACAATTAATTCTATGCATACTGGGTCAAATACTTGAAGGTAAAGCAGATTCATATTGCATCACTATGGAAACAGCACTTAAAAAACCCAGCTAGCTAGCAGCACCATACCAGTTGTAGCTAACTTGAGTTAGCCCGAGCAACAGAGCTCATGACAGACTCAAGCCTCCTTAACCGACAACACAAACTTACAGTATTAATGCATAACCAGCCCTTCCTAACATCAACCAGAGGCACGCAGCACATGATAAGCTCACATTAAGCTAATAAAGGTAACTTACAATAATAATGCAGCACCAGCTGAAGCTAACATTAGCCTAAGTCAAAGAGCAAACGACAGAAGTTTAGGTTGAAGCTACCTGCGCTTATTACTGCATCCCCTGCTGTAGCTAACATTAGGAAGAGGCCCAGAGAGACAGAAGATTAGTTGAAGCTAACAGTGCATAATTACAGTATTTATTCAGCTACTTCGTATTCAGGCGGTTATTGTCTACTGCCTCCTCCATGGTTGACATCACGGTGTATTTAGCGTCCTTATTGCAGGAATAGGCAGGCTTGCCTCGGCTTTGTCAATATTCTATCCTTTGTTTGTTTGCGAATAGCAAGGTCCATAATCATTGTCAAAAACACTGAATTTTGTTGATTCCCTGAGTCCCTTTGACAAGTTGACATTAACACCTGTTGTGACTCCGAATAGGCTACAGAACACCTAGAGTAAAGTAGCCTATAGTATGCACTTTGCAAGGGTTCTCACTGACCTCAAATTGCATTAAACACTAAAGTCAACAGTCATCATCACTCCTGCAATGACATAGGCCTAAATTAAAGTTTTTTTAGATAGAGAAGACATGTGAACTCTGAACTTATTCTATTGGATTTTCTTTCAATTCTGTGCCAACATAATTTCCCATCCCTGCTAAACCATGCAACATGCTTCCCTGCCATAATAACCCTTGACCCATCACCACCCTGCTGTCTACATCTGGCCTTTTTCCACTTGTCTAGCTTTTCAATTTTGTAACTCCTTTACATTTTTCTCTGATGTTACCCGTAGGACGCACAGATGACCAGGAAAACATGTCTAAGGTGGAACCCTCCAATGGGCACAGCAGGCCTTTGGACATCGTGCCCAGCACAGAGGAGAAGATGATAGAGAGGGGTCAGTGGGGAAACAAAATCGAGTTCGTTCTGTCTGTGGCTGGAGAAATTATTGGCCTGGGGAATGTGTGGCGTTTCCCCTACCTTTGTTATAAGAACGGAGGAGGTGAGTGATGGTTACTTATCTGTAGCATAATATCTTATCACCTCTTAACAAGCTTGAGGTTTCTGTTAACATATTTATCTTCAACATCAGGGTGTGTGGTGAAAACATTACCCCTAGAAACAGGCTATTGGTTTAAGTATGTCTTAATCTGTAAGGATAGATAAGTCGTAGGTGTTGTAGTCTAGGAGCGGATAATACAGAAGTTAATATGTGATCTATTCCAAGGACATCTATTGATCAGGGAAGGAAATCGTTAATTTAAATTAGGAAAACAGCCAGACACATTTTTGAAGTCAGTTTGCTAATGTCTAATAATAATACAGCAGACAGAGCTTAAAGACAAATATAAGTCTGCATTAATTATTACCTAGAAACATTAATTTACAATTCAATATGCTTGAACTCATTCAAATACTTTTCACTTTAAATAATGAATTTAAAAAATGACTAGTCTCCACCTATACACTGCTTTGTACCATGTTGAAGCTTTTTGTGCTGTTACAGGTGCCTTCTTCATCCCATACCTCATCTTCCTGTTTGCCTGTGGAATCCCCCGTCTTTTTCCTTGAAACGGCTCTGGGTCAGTACACCAGTGAGGGAGGCATCACCTGCTGGAGGAAAATCTGCCCATTATTTGAAGGTATTCAAAAGATGAATTGATTAAAGTTTAATGACGTTAAACCACCTTTGAAAGCTTATAAGGGTGAACACCTAGCTTAGTGGGTGTGAAAAATGGATAATGACCAACCAGTGACTCAGTAAAATATGTCTGTGACAATGTACAATGAAAAGGAATATCAGAAATGTGCACAATGTGTTTAGGGCATGTGTGCTTGTCAGTATTCAATATTTGCATTTGTGTATGTTTGGAGAGTCTGTGTCTGTGTGCATGCTTGAGTGCCAACAATTCTACATTTGGTGTACGAATGTGGGATAACAAAGCATGTTGTTGTAACGGTTGGCAAGCACCCAGCACGGGCTAATGATCGGATTTCTGCCTTCCAATTTTTTTTTTTTAATCATGCATTTTAATTTCCTTAGGCGATAGTATGAAAGGTGATTAAGAGTTCAGTCAAGCGTAGGCTCATTTTTTGGAGCATGAGTTTAACATCAAATTTTGCCCTGTTGTGCATTTAATTAACTCTACTGTGATGTGGTCATTTGAACAGGCAATAGTATTGGTTTGAATTGTGTGTCAGAAGCTGTACATTTACATTTTTCTCTTTAATAGTGATAATGGCAGAACTATAATGCTTGGAGCATAAGCTGAAAGTTTTTTTCGTCTGTTTGTTCCAGGAGTGGGCTATGCCACCCAGGTTATTGTTGCTCTGCTCAACATCTACTACATCGTCGTGTTATCCTGGGCCATCTTCTATCTGTCCAACTCCTTCACCTGGGATCTGCCCTGGGCCTCCTGCAACAACTCATGGAACACAGGTGGGACAAAGGCCATTAGGCCAAAAACCAAATTTAGATATCTACTGGACATACGTTTACTTCGGATCAAGTTTAGCTTTGTCTTTGTCTTTGTCATGCTTCTGCAAGTTTAAATGTTAGGCAGGACCAAAATATCTTAACAATCATTGAAGGATTGCCATGAAATTCTGAACAGCCATTAACTGTCTACATTGGTTGAAACCACATGACCTTGGTAATGTCTTGTCTTTAAGAGCTGTGCCGTCATTGAGTTCAGATTTGGGGGGAAATGTCTTGATCAGAAATGTCTACTTAATGGATAACTGTGAAACTTTGCACATTTCGCTTACCTGTCAGCATGAGATAAAATTGCTAATCACCATACTTTTCATCTTATGCTATAAACCCATCAGATCCCGTTTTGTTTGCTAAGTTCCATATAATCAAATGTTAGCATGCTAACACCCCAAACAATATGGTGTACATGCCTGCATGTTAGCATTAATCAGCTAACGTGGCTATTGACTTTTGACTTTGTTTATACGACTTTAAGTCAATGATGCAAATATTCAAGTGGCCTTTTCTCAGGTTTTCCCTTTCATAGTTTCATTCATTTATGCTTTCATTTTATATCGAGCTGAGAATATCCCTGCACCTTTTGTCGCCTCCGTCTCAATGGTTGAATTGTTTCACTCGCCTGTGTGTAACTTGGAAACCTTGGAGAAAGCTTGGATTTCTTCACAGGACTGAATGTCTTTTTGTCTTTCCTTCATTCAAGATTCCTGTATGGCATTTCAGAGGGGGAATAGCTCCATCAATCACCATGAGAACACCACCTCTCCTGTCATTGAGTTCTGGGAGTAAGTGCCCTTTTTGTTTGACTGTGTCCTCGAACAGCTTCACATGCCAACAAAGTACACGAAATATGCAACTTACCAAGTACTTTAAAGTAATTGAATATTCCATCTTAAGTATTTTTATTTTTTTGCATATTTAAATAATGCATCATTGTTAAGCTTATCTGAACTTTTACTGTTTTTTCTAGAAAGCCTTTTGAATCGCTAATAGACCCTGAGCTTCATAGCTTGATTAAATATTAGCCAGATTAAATACAACTGTATTTTATCTTTAATAATGGAGGTCAAATGAAATATGAAATCATTAGCATTCTTTAAAATGTAGATAAAACATTTCTAATATTAACCTCATTTTTGCGTTGGCCACAGGCGAAGAGTGCTGAGAATTTCCTCAGGTATTCATGACATTGGCTCTCTGAATTGGGACCTGGTTGTCTGTCTGGCCGTTGCCTGGGTCATCTGTTACTTCTGCATCTGGAAGGGAGTCAAGTCTACTGGCAAGGTGAAACCTGAGCTCATGATAGACTAACTTTTACCTTAGAGTAGGGAGAATAGAGTCTGGTCATTTAATCAATACTTTTCCGCTGTTTTTCTCGTATAAAGTGCATGTTTGGCTTGATATACATTTTCCTTGTGGCTTCATGTATGCACAAAGTATTCCACAGTAGGAGAAGGAACAGATTATACAAAAATTAGGCAGCTAGTGCCAATGGTTTTTAAAAATGTATTATAGTATAATATCAAAGTTTTTACATGACCAAACAGTTCAATTTTAGCCCTAGCACACTTCTATAGAGGAAAGAATTTCTGACAAAATCTTGTCATCATGTACAGTATGTACCTCTTTCTTTTTTAGGTGGTTTACTTCACGGCCACCTTCCCTTATGCTATGCTACTGATCCTGCTCATCAGAGGGGTCACGCTGCCAGGAGCCATGAGGGGAATCCACTTCTACCTCTACCCTGACTTGGGACGTCTGTCTGATCCACAGGTATGCCGAAAACAGACTTGCTGACATACTGTACTCTTGTTTTGATGATTTACAAGAGAATAAACTCTTTCACATGCAGCTCAAAATGAAACATTTAATATAATGTCTACCACCATTTTAATGTTCACCAAAGGGTTTTCATGCCTTGGTATTGAATTTAGAATACATCCAGAATTAAACAGATACATTATACACTGATATTGTCAATCTCACCCATGCTGCGATAGTTTCAGTCCAGTTTTAAGAACATAAATTTACTCAAAATGTTCACAGCTACCCTGCCCAGTGGCTTCATTAAGGATATGCCCTCTTTTGGGTTTCACTTAAAGTTGTGGACAGACATATAAATCCCCTAAAAATAATGTGGTGCCTTATTTACTAGAAACAAAAACTATTTGCTAGCATGCTTGAAAAATCACTATCAATGATAATTTTGACAACGTTGCGTTCATGGCATACTTCTGCTTCAACTATGTGGCCAAACAATCACTTAATGCAGGTTTTGGGAGAAATACTTCTAGTTCTGTCTTCAATGTCAAACACTTTTTTGTGTCCATCAATCACATCCTTTCTCAAAAAACATCGCATTTATCGCTTCCTTCGCTATGACCAGAACCATAAGTTATGAGAGACAGTGCCTCATGATTTGTCCAGCAAAATGTCAAGGACTTATGCACTGCGAAAGAAAAGACAATGGATTGGGAACGATGGTAACAGGGACTTTTCAACCAGTGTGAAAATCTAAAAGAGGGGCCCTTTGCAAACCCTCTTTGGGCCCTTTGGATGAATGCAAGACCTGTGTCTGCTGGCCAAGACAAGCATGGCTGGTGGAGTTGGTGCCTTTGTGTTAGGTTGTGTTCAGTGTTTGTGGTTTTGGTTGGACTCCTTGTCAATCAGATCTTCAGTGCTGGCTGACAGGTATCTAAAACATGCCCCAGTGCCCTGAGTGCACTTCACTAGAATTACAAGCAGAAAGAGAACCCTTGTTTACATTTTTGAAGTGGGATTCAGTGTGCAAAGAGGTGATCGAAAAGTGCTGTATAATTTGTGCTTGGGAGAGACCTGGTCGAGAGGGTGAGTTAAGGAGTTTCAGGATGTCAAGATAGGAGTTAGCTTGTGTTTAATAGAACAGCTAAGTTGGTGTGAGCAGATAGCCTGCTTTGCTTATATTGCCACTAAGAGTTCGGCTTAATGTGTGCAGCATTGGAATTGAAATTTAATTGAATTGAATTTTTTGTCATATCATCTGTATCTGTAACGGTTGGAGGAAGGTAATCAGTTAGACAAAAGTGCCAAAAGTGCACAAACACGTGTGTCTGGGGTTTCCAAAATGCCTGTCGTTTAAAAAAAAAAACTACACATCAACCTCACAAATCCCGGGTGTATGGCACACGAACCCTCACGTCACTGTTGAGTAGAGAGGCAAAAGGAACGTAGGAGCCTGGGTTACAGGCATCAGTCCATGGCAGAAGGGCCGCTCAAAACTAATTTCAAGGATAAAAACAACTCCTAGTAACTTAGCCACACAGTATGTCCTAAAAGTACATCCAACAATTTACATATCGTATTGTATTGTAGCATTACATTTCGTTTGGTATCTGTCGTATCAACTTAACATTACAAATGGAATGATGTTCCTTGTCTCATCAAACAGACAGTTATAAGTAGTAAAACATCAGCATTACTTTAAACAAAAAACAGACAGTCCCTTCTCATGTATGTTGGTGAATTCAGTCTTGTTGGAGTGTTAGAAATACATCATTTACCATAAGTTTGAATTAGTTGTAACTATCAAACTATAATATTATAAAAGTGTACAGTGTGGAAAAAGTTCAAGTTGTATTTGTTGTCATAATCAGCTGTTTGAACTGCTTTCAGTGATGAAGTGTTTATTGAAAAGTAGTGGGAGAGTTAAGCTCAGAAACCCTGACAGTTCGAGTTGACTCAAGTCTGCGTACATAATAGAACAGTGATGATCCTCAAAAAAACACTTCTTGAAAGTTGATTTGTGCAATATTTGGAGCATAATAAAGTACTTAATTCTTCAGCAAATATAACTAATTTTCCCCCAAAAAAGTGAAAGAGAAAAGTTATTTTAGATTGTATCTGATCTGGATTCCTACATGTCGTGTTAAATGTAGTTTCTCGTTTTGATGATCTTCGATCCTGTCCTCAGGTATGGATGGATGCTGGAACTCAGATCTTCTTCTCCTATGCCATCTGCCTGGGTTGCCTCACTGCCTTGGGAAGCTACAACAAATATAACAACAACTGCTACAAGTAAGGATGAGATGTCTACAATGTGGTTGAAATTCAACCTGTTGTTTGAAAGTACATTACCATAAGTAGAGCCGCTGCTCCTTCGCATCAAAAGGAACAGTTAAGGTGGTTTGGGCATCTGATCAGGATGCCTCCTAGTTGCCGCCTGGTTGACGTCTGGGGCAACTTGCTTACCCTGCTCCCACCACGGCCTAGCCCCGTATAAGTGGAAGATAATGGATGGATGGATGGATGGATTGATGGATGGATAGGTGGATGGATGGATGGACTACCATAAGAAGGATTCAAATGGCTAGTCCAGACCATGTTGGATACTGTTCTCCTCACTTGTACACATACAGTTCTTAATCATAATATTATGTGCTCCTCTCTGTGTTTTTTTTCTCCAGGGATTGCCTGTCCCTCTGTTTCCTGAACAGTGGGACAAGTTTCATTGCAGGTATCGCCATCTTCTCCATCCTGGGCTTCATGTCCTACGAGCAGAACGTGCCCATCTCAGAAGTAGCTGAATCTGGTTTGTCACAAAACAAATATTTAAAACTTGTTCTTTGACGAAGTCCTTTTATATTTATGAAACCCTAAAACATGCTGTCCATTATAAATTAAAGGTCGAGATCTTTTCACTTTCTGCATTACAGGGGTTTGTATGCTCAATATATTAATTTTGTGATTTTACTAGTAACAATCTATAATATTTTTTCATTAAGTAAATAACTCTGAAAATCTGTTTTATTCAGGTCCAGGCTTGGCCTTCATAGCCTACCCTCGTGCTGTGTCCATGATGCCTTTCTCCCCTCTTTGGGCGTGCTGCTTCTTCATTATGATTGTCTTTCTGGGATTGGACAGTCAGGTGTGATCAACATTTGCACCACACAAACTCTCAAACAGAGATTTACAATGAAATAACCTCAAACACGTTTCTTAAAAATCATGCAACATGTATTTTCATCCAGTGAATATGCACGCATTGGCCAGACTTTGTTGATTTGTATCTGGTCAGCGGGACCCATACACCCATGGGTACAAACCTAGAGTCTATGGTACAAACATACTTACGCAAATATCTATCTCACATTCTTGATGTTTCTCTCTTGATCAGTTTGTGTGTGTGGAAAGTCTGGTGACAGCCATGGTGGACATGTATCCCTCCACCTTCCGTCGTAAAAACCGCAGGGAGCTCTTCATCCTGGCTTTGGCTCTGTTGTCCTTCTTCTTAGGGCTCATCATGCTGACAGAGGTTTGTCTCAGTGAATACACTTTCAAAAAATGTTTGCAATCATGTCAGAATGAGTGTGTTGTATTTACAGAGGAAAAGAGAACATATGGCTACGAGGCCAAGGGGAAGACAGATATGATTTTGAACAAATACGATCTGAGGCTTTCCTAACGTGCAGAGATTATTTTATTCTGGATGCAGTTTCTGTTTTACTCTGTCTTTTACTTGTCTTTATTGGATGATAATCTCATGTCTGTCTCCACAGGGAGGCATGTACGTCTTCCAGCTCTTTGACTACTATGCAGCCAGTGGGATGTGCCTGCTCTTTGTGGCTGTCTTCGAGACTGTTTGCATTGCGTGGGTTTATGGTGAGTGTGTCAGCCAAGCTATTCAGTAACGCTTATCCACGGTGTTAATAAGACAAAGGCCTTATTCTTACCATGCACTCTTCACCCTTGCCCCATATGACCTTCCACATTCAGCCAATCAATGAAAGGAAAATGAAACCCACCGATTACGAGGCAATGGCTAAATGGTGGGGATGATATTAATTTATGGAGTTAAATAAGAGAGAATAAAATAAATGTAAGAAATTGAATTGAAGCAGATCTTGTGTTTTCTAAGGAGTAACTTCTGTCAATCATTAAGCTTATTATTACCATAATGTCTTTAACATATTGCTATTCAAACAGAGTAAATCTTAATACTTGCGATTGTAAGTTTCCACTCTATTTCCCTCCTTTCTCCCGATTACAGGTGCTGACCGTTTCTATGACAACATAGAAGATATGATTGGCTATCGGCCCAGCCCTATCATCAAATACTGTTGGCTTTTCTTCACCCCTGCAACATGCTTTGTAAGTGTCACAATCATTTCATAATGCATGCTGTTTCCTTTCTCATGAAGGTAGAGCGACCTCTGCTGGCCAATATTGGAAATACATTTAAATATACAAATACTGCAAATCTACAAAACAGCTTTGTTTATAATAAATGATTATGTTTCAATGCAATAAAGATTACAGATATTGATTATACCTGCAATTAACTTCTATTTCAGTATGTAGTATAGTCGACATCTATCCACCCAGAACCATTAAATATGTCTCTGCCTCTTTCTTTAGGGGACTTTTGCTTTTGCCCTGATCAAGTACTCACCTCTGAAGTATAATAATGAATATGTGTACCCCTGGTGGGGCAATGGGATCGGATGGATTCTGGCCCTGTCCTCCATGATGTGTATTCCTCTCTGGATAGCTGTGAAACTGCACTACACGCCTGGAACGCTGAGAGAGGTAAAGTTGAGCTAAAGCTTTCCTTTTAGGATGTTTTTTTAAACATAATTGTATTTTTACATACAATGATGATTTTAACATTTCAGAAGAATAAAATGTGAAGAAAAAAAAAGAAGGGATTCATGCTAAATGGTCGTTAAAGCTGCTCTCTTTAATATTTTAGAATGAGGAAATACTATGATTATGTGCTTTTAAAATAGGGTCAATCATAGAACAAACTAACACAGTCAGGAATGGCCAATGTTCGGTTAAGTCACGTCCTTATTATTTGCCTTTTTTGCAGCAGGTTTGCTGTTTTTTAAGCTCAGATAAGTACACTCTACCTGCTCAGCACCAACAAGCAGACAAAGTCAGCAGTTAGCTAAAGAAAGCGTAACATTTAGCAGCTTACATGAGCAAGATCATTTCCTCAGGATTTGATGGGAACAGCTGAAGAGAGACAGGAAATGTTGGGAGAAGAGAGAGTCCTCTGTACATGGGACGCACTTCATAACTCCTAGGCTCTCCAGCACTACTGGTCCTAGATTTCTTTAATGGCCAAAACAGAGAACAACATATTTCAGTGGTAATAATAGACTGATTCCGCAGACTGCGTGGTTGTTTCCTAAACAACGTTTCATCTGCCCTTTGCTTGACTTGAATCAAGATAGATGGAACTCTGTCTGAAACAGAAGGGGACATGAGATAACTTCCACTAACAATATGGTTAATAATATCTGCTCTTTGAAAATAATCGGTCATTGTTCATGTTTTTCCTTTTTCAGCGCCTTGTTCTGTTGACCACTCCCTCCCCGGAGTTACCGAAGTCAAAGCAGGACCAGGAGAAGCTGCTGGCCATCTACTCAGCAGATGGCGACAGCCTCCATCAAAGATCCACTCCGAATAAGGATGGCTACTTCCCCGTTGATGAAAAGGAGTCTCACTGTTAGAGACCTTAAAGGGTTGGAAATCAGAGCCTCTTAGAGGTTAAAGCTCACTCCTCAGCTTTGACACTCTGTCTGGCCCCATTCAAACAACTCTCTCTGCAATACCTCACTATAGAGAAGGGGAAACAGAAGCAACACAGACTGAAGAGTCATGAGGCCTGAACCTGCTGCTGGAGATTTCTCCTTTCTACACTGCCTTCGACGTACAGAATGATGGCATCAGTATTCCTACTTACAGAGTATAATCATTTTTTTTAAGAGTTCGTCTTATTTGCCTTTTGCAGAATCATTTGTACATTTATAAAATAAACTGTCCATTGTTGTTACACAGTGGCTAAGAATTTACATTTGATCTTTTCTGCTTTCTAAGGAAGCATGCTCTTTTTTTTGTGTTATGGACATCTCTATTGTTCAGTTAGTCTGACATGACACTCTGGTTACCTAACTGATTCTAACATCTGCAAGGGAGCAAAAGTGATATCACGGTCACTTGAATGAAAGATATGTGTGTTTAAATGAACTTCTGAAATCTACACAGAGTTTCACAGTTTTTACTGTACGTGAGAGTCATCATCTCAGGAGGTAAACATTTTTATAAAGAAATAATATAGAAAAGAATACTAGTAATACTTTTTTGTGAATGTAAGAATTGGATTTTGAATTTACCTATAGCTGACTGACCTCAACTCACACAGTATGCTGTTGTTTTTTTTCTTCAGATAAAATGTTTTTTCCCCTTTGTGTTTATATTTTTTGTTCTGCCGAGATGCATTAATGTGTGCATGATTTCCCCTGCAACAATCTTTTTGACATGATTTAAACCCCGCCCACTTTGCCTTACCTTTTAGCCTTATGTATTGCATTGTATGATTTAAATGTGAAGTGCCTGAAGGAGAAAGTTTTACCACTTAGATAGGAACAGAGCGGGCTGGTTGAAGGGTTTGATCCCAAAATGAAAACCTCCCTGACCATCTGATTTCCTGCTGTACAGTCATGAACTTCAGTCTTGAGTTTCCTTGAATGTTGGACTGAACATATGATCATTGATTACTGATAGAGAACACTTTTACACTTGTAACTTTTACATTTTAAATGTTTTTATGACTGAATAAAAGTACCTTCAATTGAAACATACATTTATTTTCAAACGTTATTTTTTTTAGGGCATGACTTTTGTTATTAAATACAGGGATGATCTTAAATGAATTGATGTGTCTGTATTAATTAAAACAGAAATATTCTAAACTTTAACATATTGCAGCATTTTTTTTATTTATTTATCGTAATATTTCATTATAAGAGCTCCTACTTGTCAACAGGCAACTGCTTGGGCCCCAGGTCAGTATTGACAGCTGCTAAACATTACATGTATTAGTCCTGTGAAAACTTAAGTTTGTCAATGAGTGGTGATGAAATATAAAAGTAAAAGACTGAAAGCTGCTACTCTAGCCCTACTTATGAGGGGGAGACACTTAACATCACTTCTGCATGCTCGCTTAAAATGATGGTGTTTGTTCAATGACCTCTAACATTAGTTAACTTAGCTAGCAGAGCAGCCTAGTGTGTCTTTATTGTAAAGTTCTCCGTTGTTACATGAATAAAGGTTTATCTCGTCTTATAAAACACAAGATAGCATATATAACATATTATGACATAACGGGGAACACTTTTGTGCCTGGGGTCCCAACAGACTCCAGAATCACCTCTGTTCATTATTAAACTGTTTTAAAAAAAATGCATTTTCTATTAACTTGTGTTGAGGTTTTCTGGTCTTAAGGAATGTAGTGGTATATGGCAGACAATTCTCACACACTCCACATCACCCCCCTCCTTCATTGCCTCCACTGGCTCCCCATTCCCCTATCCACTTCAAACTTCTCATCATCAACTATAAACCCCTTCATAACCTGGCTCACCCTACCTTTCTGAGCTCCTCCACCGGCACACACCCACCAGCACTCTCAGGTCTGCTGAAGGAAACCTCAGCCAATTACTACTACAACTACAACTACTACTACTAATAATAATAATAATAATGACAAAGAGTAATAATTGAACATATGGCAAGAGCTAAGATTTGCAAAGTGTGTGAAATATGTGTTCTATTATTATCCATATTTAAATGTAATCACATTTTCATGGATCGTGGTAAAAAATATAGAAAATTGTGTAGTGAACAATATGTTTTAGATAAGATACAATGAGATAAGCTTTATTGATCCCCCATTGAGGGAAACAGCTAAAGTAAAAGTACAATCAGCAAAAAACAAGTATATTTACAGTAGTTAAATATAAGAAGAGCAATATGGTAGTAGTATTACTAGAAATATATATATGCAAACTTTCACTTGTGGAAAAGGCAGAGAACTTGTTTTTATTTAAAAAGACGCACAGTGTGTAGTATCTTGATTGTAATGAGCATTATGGTACAGTCAGGTAAAACACTACACATGAGAGTCACATGGTGGTGTTGCTGTTTAAGAGTCTGACAGCATGAAGTGTAAATTAGCTGCTGAAGTCCATCCATCCAGCAACATTTTGATTTGATTTTGATTTTAACTTAAATGTATAACCAGATGGCATAACCTTTTAACAGTCAGCATTTTGCCGAGCCTTTACTCTCTCAGTGCCAACTATTTGCAGCTTAAATGGATTTGTCATTCATTTTGCCAGAGAGATACAGCTGTCCTTTCAATTTCCGTTTCAGTCTCACAACAATTTCCATCCATAAGCTGCATTTTCATGGATATTACTTCCCTGTCTCTCATACCTTAAAGACGGCAGGATGTTCTGAATGTCATTCCGCTTCAATATGATTTTAAAGAGAAAGTGAGAAAGGTATGCCCTAGACTCAATCTCAAATCTGAATTACTTGTACGAGAGGTTATTTATAGTCAGTGACACCGCTGACAAATGTCATGACAAACACAAAAAACGATTTTTGCTGCAGTTTCTTCCAATCTTAAAGTACTGAAAGTCTGCAGAATATTACGAATTGCTTTGGGGCGTTTCCTTTTAATGTTGTGACATGACTCAGAATGAGGTTTAAAGATGAATTTGAGTCTCAAACTAACATAAATTGAAGAACCATTATTGAAATGATATGAGTCTGATTGGAGAGCAGCCCTGTGCCACTGAGCTTCAAAGATTTATTAAGAACTGTGCAAACAAGGCCTGTGAACATGTTCTGATTTTATATTAAGGTACACTAGGACTTCAACTCTGAAACTTCAACAACTACAAACACTCAAAATATTCTGAAACAGTATCAACTTCTTGATTTGAAGCAGGAAAATGATACGCAAGTACTTTAACTCTATGGTGCGAGAGCCATGCTACGCTCTTGTGGCTTTTCTCAGTAATGTTTGTTGTCATCACTTGTATCACAAAAGTTGTGGAAGTCTGTACTCTCCCTTAGGAAAGTTCTGTTCTTAAGCATGACCACTCAGAACGTCATCAGGCACGGTAGTGGGGCTTTGTGAGAAGAGCAGATTACACAAATCTCCCCCTTGAGAGGTGGAATCCTCTAACTCTAACCTTCACCTACCAAGGGTCCCTCTACTGGCCATCCTCGTGGCCCTCCCAGAAACAATGAAAAGCAGAAATACGATTTATTTATTACTTCTCGTAGCAGCCAAGATGGCAATAACATTGAACTGGCTTAAGAGAGATCCCCCTACCTACGAGACTTGGAAACTAGTTGTCAAAGGATTATACATAACGGAAAAAAAAGCAATTAAAATAAAAATGCAAAATGCAAAATTCATTGACAGATGGTTTCCATGGCGACGAGTGATGGAGGATATATAGACCAAGGGGGGCAAGGGTAAATGCGGTGATATCCTAATTCATTATATAGGCCTAGATATTGTACAGGGGATGTATGGAAACACTATTTTGGTTGCATAAACTGATGAAATACTGACATTAAATAATGGTTATGTCATTGGTTACGTGTGTGTCACTTTTTTTTGTGGTTCTCTATGTGGGGTGCTTGTTTGTTGTTTATTTCACTATTATGCAAAAAAAAACATTGGGCAAACGATGAAGTTATTATTATCATTTTATTTTGTGCTGTATTCTATTATTTTCTTGTATAAGATAATCAAAAGAAAAATGTAAGAAATTAATTATGTTAGGATTGCCCAATAAACACAAAGTTGCAAAAACATACAAGTCTCACCCTGTTATTATACTAAATTTCTTCTTGGCTGTTTAAGATTATATAAAATATAACATTATCTTTTGTGCTCTTAAATATAAGCTAGGGAAAAGACTGTCAGGAACCTGGTGCAGTCTGTTAACTGTTATGACACAATAGAGACCTGCAGTGTGGTATGTGGGCTCCTTCTGGCTGTCACTGTGCAGCCTCAGGGATTGGGTGCTCCTGTTTACAATGTCTGCAAAAATCTTTATTCAGCCCCGAAAACAACATCTCATGCTCATGCTCCTGCCTTACTTTTTTGAATCTTAGCTCTTTAGTTTAGCATGAAATCTTGCCTAATGAGTAACTATTTGAATAAATAATGTCTAAACTATCCAATAAACTTGCAGAGGAATGCATATTTAGAAATGGAAATATAAATGTCTCAATAATTGATTAACCACATTCTGAATTATATATTTGTTTTCACTATTTATTATTCTTTTGAACCTTGTAAAGCCTATCAAACTTACTTTTGAGTTGAAATATATGTTATATAATTTCAGTGGTGGAGAAAGTATTCAGATCCTTAAGGTAAAAAATAGTAATAGCAATACCCCAGTGAAAAAATATACACATAAATACATCTCAAATAGATAACTGTAATAGGCACAGCTGGAGGGAGCCTAATACTTGAGTTTTGTTTTCTTTGGGGGGGTCAAGACAGAATTTCTTTAAAATTGTGTAGGCAACTACAGGCCTACTATCAACATATGTTCTAAAACCATCACGAAAAATTGTCATTATTCAAAAAGGTTTATTGTATTTTACTACGAGATCGAATAACCTAGTTGATGCATTATCACGTCAATCATTTTAATGTTGGAGGTGCATGGTTTTGTTGGAGTTGAAGCAATTTGTTGCTTAATGAATTTTTTTGTATTTTATGATTGAGCTGCATAATCTCAATCTGCACCAAAAACTATTACATATAGTTTTCAGATAAATTAAGAGCCAGAAAGCGTACTTGTTCGTCTGAAATGTAGAGTAGGCCTCTACATTTGCAGACCTATAAAAATACACAAGAGAAAGGCAATCAAAGTCAAAGTCAAAGTCAACTTTATTGTCAATTTCAAAATATGCCAGACATACAATGGAATCGAAATTTAGTTTGTTTCCGTCCCGCGGTGCAATACAACCAAAATAAGGTAAAATAAAATAAAGTAAAATAGATCAAATAAAATGAGGTAAAAATAAGATAAATAATATTTACAGTAATTCTAAATTGTGCAAAAGGTACAAAATGGTAAATAAAATAAAATAAAATTGAAAGAAAAAGTAAACTTGTGCAATATGTGCAATGTGCAGTAAACTGATTGTACGTTCGCACTTGAGTAAGAGTGATGTAGTGCAGGGTGTACGCAGGTATACAAAGTATACCCACTTATTTTTCAGTCTACATAGAGTACACCCACTTCTAAATTTCCTCTGATTCACACTAATAATTGATTGACCATATTCTGCAGGATGCTGCAATTCCTAGGATGGTGAAGGGATGGTCCTCCCATACTCTGTCTCTAATTGGCTAGTACACACTAACTTAATGTGCAAGAGGAGTCTTAAGTCACTGCTGTTATAAGTAGCCTATGTCTCTTACTGCAGCTGCAACTTCCCTGTTAGCCTTTAGGCGGTGCATGTCGACATGTCAATGCCACAGAAAAGCCAATACGTGGCTATATTCACAATGTCTTAAGTGTATATTGAGCTTTTCCAGCAGGGTGCGCTGTAGCCATTATTCTGAATCAGAACTGTTTACGGAAGTCCAAGTGACGTGTCACTGTCCACCGAAGCATTGTGGGAAGGAAAGTGGAGCTGACGGCCGCTGATGGCAGACTCCCCAATTAGGGAAATATACTCGACAAGTGAGCAGCTTTAAGTAAACAAAGATAAAGGGGAAATGGTGTCACTTAATGAAGCGAATGTCAACAGG